ATGACTTTGAATTGAAGATAGAACTTTAAATGAAAACTTTGTTTCTTGTCCCATTGTGACCACTGTGGTGTGTAACTGTTGTGAAATGCTGACATACACCACTACTATGAAAAATTGTGTGTTATTAAGTTTTAGAACTAGTAAAACTAACCATGGGAGGTTTCAATAGTCAGAGTCCATTAGGCTGGTAACAAATGACATTTCAATCATGAGGTAGCTTCAAGGATGTTGTCTGTAGGATATCAGACTGTGCGTATGACTCATATCTACAACACATACATACGATACGTATCTATGATTCATACACACCATACATATATGATTCACTCGATCCCACTGGATTCATACAATCGATATGACTCATTTCATTCACTTGTGTGAGTGTCTCGACTCATTTGATTTACACATCACTTGATCCTCACAGTGATCGATTCTAGACTTCATACTTCGTTGATCCTCGAAAAGAGCATTGACTCACTTTTCTTCTAGCACACACTTTACATCACTTTTAGGACAGTCACTCCCACAGGTTATGACACCCTTCCAATAAAATTCATCACCACCATGGTGATAATTTTTAGGCGTGTTCTCTCCTCACTATGAACTCTACTGACATTGCGTCAACACACCCCTTTGAACAACACACCGACAACGCATACGCATTGTTACCGCCATCGTCTTTGACAACGCATATGCATTGTCACCACAATCGTCTTCGAACTTATCACCATGCAGTTCCGACAATAAATTTTTACTCAATGACAACTTCGAAACGATTGCCATTGTCGCCACCCAAATACCGCTGTTTCGCAACTCAAAACTTTTGAAATCTTTCGACATTTTTTTTGATGAACGAAACGTATTTGGTGACAACAAACCCGCTTCCATTTTTTTTATTCCCACAACAAATTAAAAATAAATCCCACGCGCGCAATGACGTGCTTACTAACCATATCCCCCTTATTCCCACAATGCGACCATCTCACGTTACACGTCCAACCTGCGTTACCGTAAAACTTCAATTTAAAACAAAATTCAAGCTTCTCACGAAAACCGGTACTTTTACGATAACCTTGCACTTCAAATTGCTTCAAGATCAGAACAATGACAACAAATATTCTGAACAATTACTGCTGATACACAGGAAAGAGGAAGTCAGTGAGTAATTGGCGTTGTTGTGTCTGTGTATTTTTCACTTTCCCATACTAAGGAAAAATAGAGATGGTGGACATTACCACATTCCTGTTCTTCTCAACAAGAACAAATAGTGATGGTGTTCTTGTTTGCATGAACTTTGAGAATTGGATAAGGACCTTTGTAAAGAAGATCTAGTTTACTGTTTTGATCATGYTTGTTGACAAATAGTACAACTTGGTTCACTTCAAACTCATTTTTGGTTCTTTTGCAATTTTCATGGAGAAGGCAGTCATTGATTTTTTATCTATGTTTAAAAGGAGTTAGTGTAATGATGCCAGCTTGAATGTCTCRGGAAAAAACAAGGAATGTGGGGGAAAATTGCCAAGAGTTGAAATGATAGGGTTGCATCAAAGGACATGCATGGCAGTGGYGGTGGGTTCATGGATTATGACATTGACATAGTTTTTGGTTTTGGGTGGTTTTAGGTTTATCATTGTTTGAATGACCTGACTCATTCTTTTAAAGGATGCTTCAATGATTCTAATGGCAGTAGGCGTGTGAGGAGATATTTGTACTGGTTTAGTAGCTGTGTAGTCAAGAGGAAATTGAAAGTGATGGCCATGAAACTCAGGTCCATGGTCAGCAACAGTGCAGATTGGTCAAGGGTTAGATGAGAGGCAACGGTTCTTGCATAGAGAGCWTGTATTTTGAGCTGTTTTAGGACTAATGATTCCAACAATTTTGATAAGGTTAGTATGGGATCAATGCATGTGAGAGCATCCTCAAAGCAAAACTTGACTTGTCTATTTCAACAGTCCAAGAAGGACTGGTGCAATCTATGTGYAATTCAGACCATGGGGTGATTGGGGTATTTTGTGGTGCTAGTAGTTGTCTGGCAGGTTGGATTGATGTGCAGGCYATGGGACATATGAGACAGTTGGAGATGACTTGACAACAGACAGCACRTAGTAGATCCTGGTGAAATGATAATAAAGGATTGCTTTGAGGGATTCCATACCTGTTGAATGTGCCATGATTTTGTGATATTATGGCATTGGGAATGGCAATTTTCAAGGACAAGYCAGGTGTGAGTTTGTCATGACAGCAACAGATGATATCAAAGTTGTCAAGCTGTTGTGTAAAGCAACATTTGGGCTGTGAAAATTMTTTATCAGACTGCTGATATTAGTAGCTAAGAGCAGATGGTAGAGAAGTGAAAGGGCAGTTGACCTTTCTTGTCAAAGTGTGGGTGTACCAGATAACTGTCTTCAACAGGCTATTTCACAGGCATTGCACCATTGCAAGTTAGCATCACCAATAGGCTTCCAGCTGGAAAACATGAAGATCAGAGACCAGATTTGGTTCATAATAGTCCAATTTACCACACCAAGCAAAATATGATGCTATGAAAGTGGGAGTGCAGCTGAGAGAGTCAGGGACAACATTTGGGGACCTTCCATGTATAAAATGTTGGGTTGTATTTGTCAAGAACAAKTTTCCATTGAAGGACTTGTTGGGTATTGTAGATGGACATTTTCTACGTGAGATTTTTGGATGGTATAGAAGTGTGATTCTGCACCAAGAAGCATTGACCAACGTTCTTTAAGGCTTTCAACAATTGAAAGTAGTTATTTAATTGTGGTGTAATTGAGCTGTGCTTTGTTGAGCTTGCAAGTGTAGTAAGCAGCAGGGGCATCTTTTTGTTTGACGGCTGAGCATAGTAGTTGAAAATCTGTACTATGTGTAAGTGCTGATTGAGGTCAGGATACACAAGCATGGTTTCCACTGCCATTATGAATTTCATTTCTTCAAAACTTCTCCAACAGCTGTTRGGCCAGTTGTATGTTTTGGGGGTTGTGAGAAGATTTGTGAGCGGGGCAAGAATATGTGAGCAAGAATGTGACCACATACCACAATAGTAGGTGATAAGACCAAGAACAGCAAAAAGTTGGCTACGGTGCACTGCACTTCAGTATCTCTATCTTTAGTGCGCCTAGCCAGTAACTTTGAAGAATTYTTACTGCCCTGGACTTACCGAGGAGGAAACAAAAAGAAACTKTTTTTAGTGTAGATTTGTACAAACCCCGGTATATTACTAATTTATGCAAATAAATTAGTACCTTTACCAAAATAAATTACTCATTTTTAACTTAAACATTCAGTCGTTATTGTGACAACAAGTCATTCTACTAGCAATAACCTAGTTTTTGCACAGTAGTAAGTTTTTTTGGCCACCGCCGTCCAACAAGTCATTCTACTAGCAATAACCTAGTTTTTGCATTGTAGTAAGTTTTTTTGGCCACCGCCGTCCTTCAAAAAAAAACAAAGGCGGCGGCCGCAACCAATTTTTTAATAGTTTTTTGTAACTACATTGCTATGATTGCTTTTACTTTCTCAATCCAGGGTTTAATGCCTTTTGGGGTGAGTCAATGACAACCAAGGCAAGGAAATCTATTTCTTGAATTACTCATTTGCATTTGAGTGGGTTGACAGCAAATCCTTTACTATGGTGATGAATCAGGACTCTGTTGAGAAGAAAAACATGTGCTGGGCATCAAAATCAATACTGAAATAGGCATTGTTGTTGGTGATGTATCATACTATAGAGTTTCCAGACCAACAATGTATGAACCAGTTGTACATCTTGGCCCTTATTTTTTAGCAGTGTAATGACTACTTTGAATTAAAAACTGGCTTCTGCTCCTGTTACAGCACAAGCACATGTGTGYAAAACTATTTGATCACAATACTGGTGAGAATAAAATTTGAGAATTGCTAATTTACAAATGACACAGCTGGAAACTCTCTGCCAACTCTATACAATACTTCTAGGTTATGAATGCCACAGAAGACCTTTTCCATGATTTTGGTACCAATGTTGGGGGATTGAGAGACACCCATGGGATGAAAGTGCACAAAAATCAGAGACCCAGCAAATTTCACCCTTTTGTTTGGAATGATGAAGGTTGGAGAAATCCAGATTGATCTGCCTGTTGGAGAGAGTACCCTGAGGTCAACAAGATAAAGTTCCTTCTTGAACAGTGTTAGCTTGCATGTGGGACGGTAACAGGCGCGTGAGCATTGAGGTTGTAAAAAATGGGTCTATGTCAAGATGCATTTCTTCATCAAGGCAAGATTTGAGGATTCTGTTGAAGAKTTTTTGGTACTTTCTTAGAATGTTCAATAAGACATCATGATGTTGTGGTGGTAACAAAAATGAGTGCAGTTGCCACAGACACCAGATTTGACATCATGATGACCATATGTAGATTCCATAATTGTAGAATTTTTTGTAGTTGTGTCTGTGAATGCAAATGTTTTGTTTGGTTGATGGTGTGTTGTTGAGAAAGGGTCAATTCAATACATGGTGTTGGAGAGCTAGTGTGACTGGATTGTTGAACAATTGAGGACGAAAAGTTTGCATGAGGATGATTGAGTCTGAACTTTCAATCAGGTTGTCTTTGAAGTTAAAGACTATTTTGAAGTGACAAAGTGTGTCTTGGCCAACACCAATCATATTGTAACAACAGGTAGCTTCAAATATATGTACTTCAAGCTGAGGCAAATCAATGTTAGAATAGAGTGTATGTAGGGCCATGCATTGAGGAGGAGAGATTATTTTGTTGGAATTTAACTTACCTGCCATGGTAACACCCAAATGGTTGGACGTTGTTGTGGGGATACTAATGAATGGCAAGAGTACATGTGAACTAAACCAAGGTGTTTTGGAACTGGAGTCACACAGAATGAGGAATGGTTAATCAACCATTATTTTTTCATGAAACAACAAGCACCACCAAGAAGAGCAATTGTGTAAGGTACTGCTGCTGGTTCTGATTCTTGTTGGGGGCCTGATAGTCAATCATAGTAGTCAGCTGAACTTGGATCATATTAAAATTTGTTGTGTTGGTGAAAGCTGTTGTCTTGATGATAAAATCCATCTTGTTGAYCCTCCTTCTTGTTGTATTCTTGGGTGAGATTGGTTCCATATGGGTCATCTTGGTAGAATCACGATATTAATATGATGTGTYGAGGTACGGTACTCGTCGTACTTTGACTACTTGAACCAGCAGACCGATCGTGCTCTACCGTAGTAGGTATCGTAGTTCTATGTACTGTACCTTGAAAAACCTGACTTCGGCCTTCGGCTTCACGTTGTGAAGCGAACTGTAACGGAACTCTGTCGACACTCAGGACGCTACTGCTACCAAAAAGCCTCTTAGCAACGGTTACTCGCACCACACGTCCAATGCGGCTCTGCTGGATGCAAGTCGGCTTTACATGAAAATTGGACTAGCCTAGACCAGACTGCCCCTTCAGAGCGACATCAATTCGTACCCTAGTAACGSTGCTCACCGAACATCGGAAGATTCTCGTTCTTTCCATTTCCGTAATTGCTACGACACGGAGACAGACACACCCCACCTCGCCCCACCAAGCTTCCAACGCTTCGCTACGATGCACAACCTCGTTTTTCTATACTAGTACTGCGGTGCACCGTATCAACGTACAATACCGGGGAGAGAGTCGGCTGCGAGTGACTCGAGGACAMKTTCCGTCGTATGAGAAGAAGTGGACAGGAACACGCGTTCGAAGAWCAACGAAACGGATCGAACTCGGCGTCGACGTCGAGCCGTCGGGGTGGCAGAAGGAACGRCGGCAAGCTCTGCGGAGGAGGTATCGAACAGCGGAATCCACTCCCAGTGTCAAAACRCGCATTGTTGATACCCTACCGTACCGGTGACGGCTTAGGAAACATCGGCAAGACAGTCGAAACAGCAACAAGAGCAACAGCRATTGACCGAAGCTGCTATCACACTGCACACCGGTAACACCATCGAAAACAGGTCTGTTGCCAAATTAAGAAGAAAGATGAGTTCTACCAATCTACCAGTAACCAAAAACCACAAGCAATACGATMGATGACATGGAAAAGTTTGGCCAAAGATGTTTCMTACTACATTAATTTCACGAGAGTCTGAAGGGAGTCCACAGCGTCAGATCGATGCCTCTTCAGCTTTGCAMAAAGTTTCTTACGGCTTGGTCCGAGTTTCGGAGCTTTTCTGAGCGAATCCCAAATTGAAATCAAACATGACAGCTGTCACATTTCTCGGGGCAAAGATCGCTGACGATGATGTYMTTCTTCACATTCGTGTCRCAGGTGGGCTTGCCGTCTTCGCCGACATTCTTACAAMGGAAGGCGGTACCTCCGATCCGGAACTTCCTCTTGTCCTTGCAAAAACAGCGACGATTGCAAACACTCGGGCAGGCGTTTTTCGGATTCCTTTTTTTGCACCRGTTCTTCCTCTTCTTGTTTGGGAAGCCTTTCAATTCGCTGCATGTGGTTTCTTCRCYCYTGAACACAAAGGAATCCCGGTCTCTACAGGCTGGGAACTCACAGGATTCGCTGCTCGTTTGGCACCAGGGTCCTCTTGGAAGAACTGGATCTGACTGGGAAGGACATCCACTGCCGTCAAACATTTCTTCCACATTTGTGTCATCGATTTGAACCTTGTCGCCCCATTGCACTAGACACTGGTTGAAACTGGTTGTATTTTTAAACATCGACTCAAAATTGGTCACGCTTGACACATCCCAGTCACCAATGGGATGGTTGAATTCTGCAKTAGYGAACATAWRSTCCATTWYTYCCACGTTYGAYACGTTCCAATTCACGATTCCCTCGTCAATCGATGGGGTTYCGTAAAACATCAACSMCATMTYGTRCACGCTTGACACATCCCAGTCACCAATGGGCTGGTTGAAGTCCGMTTGWRYAAACATGRSAYYCATRSTTTTCACATTTGACACATCCCAATCACCAATAGGCTGGTTGAACGGTGCGCCCATGAACATACYWCYCATAYTTTCCACGTTTCCAACATTCCAATTACCAATGGGTTGGTTGAAAACACAATCYATTGRGAAAAATTTAGGACAACCGAACATGGAASYCATGTMTTCTACTTTTGACACATCCCAATCAGCAAGAGGCTGGTTGAATGCCCCGGYAAGCGAAAACATACTACCCATGCTTATCACGCTTGACAAATCCCATTCACTCAGGGGTTGATTGAAAGGAGACAGAGCAAACATAGCCKSCATGCTTGTCACGCTGGACGTATTCCAGTTACCAAGTGGCTGATTGAAATATAATGTACCACTGAATGCTTCACTCATGTCGTTCACATTTGACACATCCCAGTTCTCAACAGGCTGGTTAAAACCGCATCGGATCATCATTTTACCCATGTCTGTCACGCTTGACATGTCCCAATTACCAATGGGTTGGTTGAATTGCATTGCATAATAAAACATCTCCCTTACGCTGGTCACGCTTGACATGTCCCAATTACCAATGGGTTGGTTGAAACTAGATGCTCTTGCAAACAAAAACTTTGTGTCGGTCACGGAGGACACATCCCAGCAATCCAGCGGTTCGTTAAAGTAGGCTTGAGGTGGTGGGGGGAGGTCTGGATTGTCGTAGGGGTCGTGTTCTTTGTAAAATGCATTTGACATGTCAGTGACACCTGATGTGTTCCAGCAGTTGAATGGAAGGTCGTATTTGCAATTGCCTAGAAGGCATTCGTCAATGACGACTCAATTCCTCTCCGGAAACGCCAATTATAGGGCGTCCATTAGGACAAGCGGCAGTGCAATCGGTATATTGAAGGTTACGATGCTCTTCTTGGGGTACCCCAAAATCTCCTGCATCAGCAACACCATGGGAAAGTTGGTCGTTGTTGTGCATGGTAGGATCTTCAAAGTAGTGCTCGTCGGTACTGTGATCATAATGATTCATGTTTTCGGCAGAACTTTCATCAGAGGCAGCACTATGTTCGTTGATCATACCAAGGTCTGGCGAGAAGTTGAAGTCTGGATCTCCCTCGACTACATTAGTCGATTCGGTTTTAATGAATCGATTGCGAAGCGCTTTGAGTTTGACACCCATATCCTCGGAAAGAATCCATTCCGGAAATCCTTGGTATTGAGACAACCCAATCGAAGCGGACTTCCAATCAGGGCGGGATGGGTGGCTAGGGCTAGAAAACCCATGGGACTGAGAACGAGCAGAATCAGATGGATGGCTCTTAAGCGATGCATCATCGTGATTCTCATTGTTGCTGGCAGAGCCAACGGTCACAAGGGCAGAAAGAGCAATTGTCAAACGCATGGTGTAGTCAGTAGAGTATCTGAAGCGGTAGAAGAAAGTAATGAAAGTATAAAATAATTCGTGAGTTTCACGCTAGTACAAGCGGTTGTAGTATCCAAACAAGAGAGTGGCAGCATTGTTAACGATGACCCACTCGACAAAGACTAATCGAATTCACGGTGGGTTAGTCGAAGGTGATGATTACAATTCAGTCTGTCCATTTATCTCGTTGCTTTCTTGATTCGGAGACAACGGACAACACCTGCATGCTATGAAATCCGATCTATTCTGCTCCCGATATATCTTGTTCGTTTAYTGCATCCCTGAAAAAAAGTATGCAATACTTCTCAAATCAAACAAGGACAATCACCACATACAATCAATTACTCACCAACGAGCTAAAGGACTGAGTTCAGTTTCTAGTACTTTGATTTCAAAAATTTAGTGAGGATATGCCGATTGATACTTATAATTCACTTGTTCAATCATTTGTTTCGTACCATTAAGTATTGTACGAATTGACTTGCTGAGCGATTTTGTTTCATGCGACTTTATCGCCTTTGCGGAATTTTCTTCAGGAAAAGGAATCTTTAGGCGAAGGCACATTACAGTACGATATGTCTCTTGAAAGTCATTTTCCAAACGAGAGAAAACTCTTTAGCAAGTAAAGTATCGTACTGCACATTACTGTAGACCAGACTTGGTAAACGAGAAAACGTACTTCCTCAGTACTTCTATTTCTGCTTCTGGCGAAGGCATTTCGAGTAAAAATCAGAGTCATAGTCATAAGCAGGGGTCATAAATCTAGGAGGGGTGTGCGAAGCATCGAAAAATAGATATCTTCAAGCTACAGCAGCAACATGGACTCACAAAAGAGAGGATTGAGAAGGAAGATGCTTTTTTTCTATCACTAGTAGTAGTACTAGTAGTTTATTCTTCCAATTGCTCAAGATTTGCAAGGAGCACAACAGTATCAGATTGAAACCAAGAAGAAGAAGCATCGTCATAGTAGTCATTACAACAAGGTGATCAGATATTGTATAGTTGGTGTAAAAAAAGAACCATGATTGGTGGTGTATCATGGATTTTCAACAATGCTCGTCAATATACTATCATGGTGTACATGAATCAATCAATCATGTCAATAGCCCCCCCCCCCCCTGACTCATCCATATGACTAGAAACCTCTCTTTATTAGTAGAAATGCATTGCTGTGCTGATCTCTGTTAAGCAACTGTTGGAGACCAAGATACAGCTCAAGCAGCAGTGATTTCATGATTAAAACAGTACATATTTTTAGATTTATACTTCTCGGTGTGGATAATGGGCCATCTTTTCTTGCTTTGTCATTGTGTAATGACTATTAGTTTGACTTAGTGCATTTTTGTCCCACAACAGACACTCCTTATCTCAACTGCTATTTTCAGCTCACAAAATTACTAGGTGACTGCCTGGTGTGTTAACTCAAAATTTGGACACTCCTTACCTCAAATGGTGCAATTTGCCAAGACACCCCCTCAATTCAGTTGGTCTATGTCTGGTTGATCAGAGAGAATAGTGGTGGATACATTTCTCCATGATTTATCACATTTCCTTCTCTTGGAATCAATCAAGAACAATGCAGCATCCTGTGAGGGAGACAAGAACCCTACTAGTAGCTTAAAATGAAGAAGGATAGCACCAGTGAAAATAGCACCAGTGAAAAAAAGAAGCAACAGCAGCAAAACAAGCAAAGTGAGCAACTAATACACCAGACTTCCTTGTAGAAGAACTACCTAAAGATGTATACGACGCATTGTCCTTGATCACCGGTCTTGATAGCTGGTTAGTGTTGCTGATACTAGTGTTGGTGAAGATGAACTGTTACTGATGAGTGTTGCTGATAGTGTTGCTGAGCGTTGCTATTAACAATATTGCTGAGCATTGCTGCTGCTGAGCGTTGCTGCTGCTGATGGGTGTAGTTGATTTGTTGATTCGTTGTTGTTGTTGTTGATTTGTTGTTGTTGTTGTTGTTGTTGTTGTTGTTGTTGTTGTTGTTGTTGTTGTTGTTGTTGTGTAGCTTCCTTCTTGTGTTGATAGCTGAGTAGTGTTGCTGAGTAGTGTTCCTTACTAATACTCTTGCTGATACTCTTGCTGAAGATTAACTGTTGCTTTATGGTGTGGCTGATTAGTGTCAGCAGTGGAGGGGGGCCAAGAAGATGTCAGTTGTCGGAACGAGAAGGGCTTTCACTGAAATTATGATAGCTTCGGCACATGGTTGTGAGGACTCATCTGTGTCCAACACATGACAAAGAGTTGCCTTCCTGCAATCAGCATCATGGATGATCAGTATTGGTGCAAACATTGGAGGTGCAACATTGGATGTTATTTTAGGTAAATATGTTCATCAAGAAAATATTTCCAGCACTTTGACAGACATGATGACAAAAATTCCATAGAAAAAAATGGGGTGTTTTGACAAGATTTCTTGATGTCAGTTGGCGTGCTTGACATATTTTACACAGGAAACAGATGGCCCAAAATGTACAATATTATTGTACATCTGCTGGCCAACTCTACACAACAAATGCTTATATTGCAGCTATCAGTGAAAAATAATATCCACTGCTTGGACAGCAAAGGGTCCAGGGTGCTGCAGATGGCCTCAAGCTTACATTTCAGACCTCCTCAAACTGGGCAACACAGAACATGACAGGATCTGTTTTAAGGATGAGCAAGGTGAAAGGAAGGTTTTCTTAAACACAGTGATCTTGTTATACAATTATCAGGGCAGAATTGTAGGCATCAAGTAAATCCTTAATGTGGTCATGCCCAATGGCAAGCAACACAAAAGGTGGTTCTTCTCCCATCCTACAACACTAGATGAGGATGCAAACAGCAACTTCTTGTTGTTTTGGTGAGGGGAGGCTAGAGGAAACACAACAACAGGAGACATAATGGCAACAGGAGACACAACATTTATACAACACAACAACCATATGACAAGAATGACACAGCCTAACAAAGGATGATTCCCATGGTCAACAACAACCTATCTCTTTCAATCAATGTACAATTAAACAAGTTTAGTGAAAATTCATATCAGCAAAGTGAGCAGCTCCAATTCTTGAGCTGAGCAAAGAGCAAGCTACCCATTTTATTCTGTTAAGTTGGGTTTTGTACATGATACTTTTGTGTTACTTTAATTTTTCCAAAGTTTCACATGATGGTCCATCAGAGTGTTGTTACTATTAAAACGTTATAAGAAATATACATGATTTGATAATACAGTAATGCAGCAGGTAGAAAAACAATAAGAGATATTTGTTTTGAATATATTGAATAAAAATAAAGTAACAAGATATATGCATGGTGTTGAATAACAACAACTAAACATATGATAGGAAGATTGGGAGCAGCACCAAGAAAAGAACACCCTTAACCAGCAGTTTGCAGTGCTCATTAATATTTTCTCCCCACAAGTAGTAATCACTATTAGGGGTTGTCCAGTAGTTGGTGCTAATGGAAATTCTCAAACAGAAAGCAATAAAATTATCTCTCCAGCAGTAAGGACCACAAATAGAAATATTGAAGGGCGTGTGTGGAAGGGGGGGGGGAGAGAGAGGGGAAATGGAGAAGGGAAAATGAAAAAAAATCAATTTATCGTTGGTCAAAAGGACTTTTAAACCATTTCCTTGTTTTACAAATGACATAAACTCATTTCCTTGCATATTTCTGTTTTTTAGTCAATTGTAAACTCATTTCCTTGCATTCTGCAATTTTGTAAACTCATTTCCTTGCATTCTCTAAGTAATCAAAATTCTGCCGTTAAATAACAGGGAAAACCAATGCTACCACCACAACGTAGTACATCACCAAACAGTCATAAATTCAAAAAAACAACAACCAAAAGACCAAGAACCACCATGGTTGAGGATGCTATGCTACTAGTAGGAAACACTGGGAATGGTGACAAGGTGCGGAGGTTGCTGATGTGGAGGTTACTGATGCGGAGGATGCTGATACGGAACGCTGATACAGAATGCTGATGATACAGAATTCCGATGATACGGAGTGCCAATGATACTGAACGCCAATGATATGGAGGACCTTTGCTGACACATAGGACGTTTGCTGATATGGAGGATGCTGACACATAGGACGCTTGCTGATACAGAGATGCTGATAAGGAGGAGTCAGTCTAGCTACGTACGATTAGTAYGGTGTATGATTACACCAGTATTGGTGCGGATCCATCATGAGAGACTTGCTGATACGGACGCTGATACAGAGGACACTTGCTGATATGGAGAATGCCGATATGGACAATACCAATACGGAGAATGCTGATAGGAGTCGCTGATAGGAGTCGCTAATACGGAGGATGCTGATACAGAGGATGCTGATACGGATACTGTTACGAGTTGCTGTTTCTTCAACTTGCTGTTACAAGTCGCTGTTACGAGTTGCTGTTACGAGTCGTTGATACAAGTCACTGTAACAAGTCGATGATACGGAGGCTCACTGATACAGAGGATGCTGATACTATACAGAGAACGCCAATACGCAATGCCGATATGCAATGCTGATACAGACAATGAGTCGCTCATACGGAGGACACTGATATGAGTTGCTGGTACGATACAGAGGAGCTGATACAATACTGAGGAGCTGATGCAATACAGAGGGGATATAGTAAAACACTAGTACCAATCTCTCTCCTAATTTCATGTTTTTATTATTATTTCTATTGCAAGAAGGAGCACCATGGTCGTTGGCGCTTGTCTTGTATTTCAGCAATACTGTATTGTTGTACACCAGTACGTAGTAATACGGTAGTTTCCTGTTGTTTAACGTCAAACTCCTAAGTGATGCATTGGTTTTTCCCATTGTTTAACAGCAGAATTTTGATTTCTTAGAGAATGCAAGGAAATTAGTTTACAAAATTGCAAAATGCAAGGAAATGAGTTTACAATTGACTAAAAACAGAAATATGCAAGGAAATGAGTTTATGTCGGTTGTAAAGCGAGGAAATGGGTTAATGGTCCTCGGTCGAAACCGCTCTGCAATCTATTTACATCAAGTTCAAGGTCGGGCGACATTGTACTCTTCTTTCTGCAGTATCGTGTTGTTGTTCTTCAGGTAGACCCCCAGTAGAAATGATATGAAGAAAAAGCTGTCTCGCCAAAAAACACCCTAGCCTTCCATGTACCATATTCGCGCGTCGTTCATCTACGTACCGTACATACCGTACCGTAAGAACGATACGGATACCGGTACGTACCGTACAAAATCCCATCGCAACCAAAGATCTTCGGAACGGTCATATCATACGGTACGAGTACCGTACGGAACAATCGGCAAGTTTCTACCATGAGAGCCTTGTTCTTACAGTAGTAACAAAGTAAAGGAAAAGATCTCTCTAGAGGGTTCTCATTCTTGCGGTCATCGGCGTTGAGAAAAGTTCCCATGTCCATTTCTCTTCTCATCTTCGTCGTAACAATACAAAAGAAACAACACAAACCATGCCTAATCCTAGCTCCCGCCGCTCGAGCATCCTCGAAGCCCACGATGTTTTCGAGAAGTACCACAAGCATCTCTCGTCTTTCAGCGAGGAGGATGAATCCATTCCTGAGGAAAATCTTACCGGAGGGTCTAACCTTACGGAAAGCGTCAAGGAAGGTGTAAAGCGAGGAAGAAAACCAAACGCGTCCTTCCCCATGTTCCATCGTGTTATGAAAACTGGAGTAATCTACGCTACCACTCGTGCGAAATCTAATGGTTTTTCTGCGGAAACCGAAGAGGAGTGGGCCAAGTAAGTACTGAGCTACTGACATCGGAATCCTACTCTATAGTTGTTGAATCTCTCTCGTCAAATTCCACGATGATATGGAATGTCACCGAGTAATGAAACTTCAAGTTGTTCGTGGCATGAATACGTTACTATACTAACAGTACTTGTTGGCCAATCATCACATCGTATCTATCAATCTATCGCGAACTACTGACGAGTTCAGTATGGGCCAGGTAAGGTTTGAAGAATAGAATAGTGTGTTGTCTCGAATGGAAGCTTCGGCAATACAACCAATTGATCTCTGAATAACCTAAAGGATTGAAGAAAGCAGCTAACTGAATCTCCTATCACCTATTTGACTGCTTTCTCTGACATACACAAAGGGAGCACCTGAAACAGGAACACTTCCTGGTGCCCCATCACGGAACTTTAGTATGACTATCCCCGAAGCAGAACTCGAGTACGCACCGGTTACAGGTCTCACCGAACTACGAGAGAAAATTGCCGATTATTACAACCATTTGTACCGTCAAGGAAAAGCTAGTCAGTATACGATGGATAACGTTTGTGTCGTTCCTGGTGGAAGAGCAGGTCTAACCCGTATCATGGCCGTTTTGGGGAACGTCAATATCGGGTATTTCACACCCGATTACACGGCCTACGAACAATGCCTGGGTTTATTCCTGAGAATTTCACCTTCGCCCCTCCTTCACCGAGACATCAATGAAGCTCTCATGGAACCAGATGAATTCGAATTTCAATGCAAAGGAGCAGGTCTTGGATCGSTCCTTCTTAGTAATCCTGCTAACCCCACCGGCCAAAGTATTGAGGGAGAGAAATTGCGAAGATATGTAGAAATTGCACGCAATACAGAAACTGCTCTCCTGTACGTCGTTGGTATCTTTGAATCTATGATAGGCAAGAGAATGTTACTTCGTTTGAGTCCCTAACTAACAAAATCATTTTTTCAATTGCTACCTCATCACGACAAAAACATTGCAATAAAAGTATGGATGAGTTCTACTCTCATTACTATTATGACGGGGAGGCTACAGATCCGTTGGACGGAGGGATCGACGTAAGTATAAATTACGAATTGTCATATCTCATTCCATAAAACTGAAATACTCATCGTCCTTTGCAATTGAAATGACAACAGGATAATTCCAATTGGCCTAAAACAGTAAGCAGCGCAACCTATATCGAGGACGTCAATGAGGAYCCAATTGTAATCGTAAGTTTGAACAACGATCTTGTTGGACCTTTTCATTTCGAACGAATCCTTTTGTTGTCTTATTATGGTTTTACGTTGCATTCGTTTCTTTTGGACAATATTCTAGGTCAATGGGCTAACAAAAAACTGGCGCTGCCCTGGATTCCGAGTGTGTTGGATTGTTGCTCCCAAGGCTATTGTCTCCATGCTCGGTTCAGCTGGTAGCTACTTGGATGGAGGAGCAAATGCACCACTACAAAAACTAGCATTGCCTCTAATGGAACTCGATTTCATTCGTAAAGATACTTGGGCGCTTCAGAGGCATTTCCGTATGAAGCGCGATTTCTTATTGACGGAATTAGCAAAACTGGGCATCAAAGTTCAATGGAGTAAGTTTATCTGATTTTATTTCTCGTGCTTTATGCGATTGTCCTTACTTTGATCCTCATGCATGAATATTTGGTCTTTTATTTTACTGCCATTTCTTGATACAGAACCCACGGCCACATTCTATATCTGGGCGGATATTTCTGCCCTTCCACCTCCATTAAATGATTGTTTAGTTTTCTTGGAGGAATGTGCCAAGCATAAGATTATCTGCGTTGTAAGTTTCCGGTCAATTTGGAATTCGGGTTCACTGTTTTAAAGGGTATTTATTTTTCCAAATATATTGGCGACTGACATTGTCCAATGCTTTCGTTTTTTACATAGCCTGGTGTATTCTTTGATATCAACCCACGAGGACTGAAGACATTGTTGAAGAGTACTTGCATATCCAATGTAAGATTCTCTTACGGTCCTCCCATGAGAAACTTAACACTTGGTATGAAACAGCTAGCCTCCCTAATCTCGGAGTGGAAGGAGCACCCTGAGTCTATTGGAGACTATGCTGGTGAAAACCTTTAAAGTGAACCCCTACAAATTACAGTTATCTCCAATCGAGACATAATACAATCTCAATACCATCAAAATGACAAAATTTCATAACTGAAAACGCATTTGTCCTTTAAAGATTTTGTATAAAGTTCGAAGTACTTGTATTATATTCACTACTTAACTTTCTTTTATTTTGTGTCTATGACATACCACTATACAATGTCTTGTATTATTTTACACTAGCCCATGTCGTCACACTACTCAAACCTGAAGCATCTTGGATCAAGTTGTTCATTTTTCCTCATGATGATGATTCTCATTCATCTKGATTGGGCCAAATGAATTCCTTTCACTTGCGATTCTTGTGGCCGGTTCTACTTTCTCACGCTTTTGGTCTCTATCACCACTTTCACTATTGCTCAATTTGTTCCAGCGGAGTTGATAGCATACTTGAACTTTTGCCAGCTGTTCAATTTCATGTATTCTTGTCAACTCTTCTTGTTTTTTTCACCTTGATTACAGTCTCGACAATCTTTTCAAGTGAGAATCGATTTGACATCAGAATTGATGCTTGATCATAGACTGGTATATCTGCTGCCAGTGTGATGGCCATGCTGTGCAGAGTATCAGGAAGGTTTTGTATGATCTCCTCAAGGTAGTCAAACATGCTGAATTTGACTCTGCTAACCTCAGTATAGTCTATGGTCATCCCCATGTAATCATGTATTCTGCCCTGTGTCTCAGAGAGTGGTGACTCCTTTCCAAATTCACCATTTAGCTGCTGTATGATGTCAGTCACCACCGCAGGGTCATAATGTGATATCTTCAGGTCATCAACATGCCAAACAATTGTGCATTTACCCTTGATCATTTTGTTCATTGTGCATGGATCGTACTAGGGATTGAGTTCAAAGCCGCACTCCTCAAGCTGTCTGCATAGCTTTTCCCAGAACAACAATGCAGCCCTCAATGCCCCATAGATTGCTTTCTCAGCCCTGGTGAACAGGGTTTTCTTCCCATTCTTGTTTATCAAGTACTTCCTGTACATCTTTGGGTTCACTCGACAGAGGAGCTCAGCCATGGTCCCATCGAGTCAGATATATACATTCTTGCCTTCCAGCATTGGTGTTTGTAGAAAGGCCCCTGGGATGTCTACTGTGGCCACATCGCAACACTCAATTGCATTGATAACACATGAGAGCACCACCAGTGTGTATAGCACCACTGTTGGTGACGCTACATCCTCCTTCTGGATGTATTCCTGCTGTCTGCGCCCATTGGCACGTCCCCGCCCTTTGATGGAGGTATCCCTCTTCCTCTTCAAGAACATTAGGTACGGCAATRCTTGTTCCTTTATTTCAGCTGTCAGCTTCCTTGGGTCCAGAGCTGAGACAACCTTTTGGTCATGTAGCTGTTTTAGCTCTTTGAACACTGCATCCACGCCCTTGCTCCTGAAGTGCTGGATCCCTTGTTCTTTGACTCCATACTGTTTGGTGGCTTGTGTTGCCTCCAGATTATTAGAGTTAGCTATTGCACTTGCCACAAGCATTAATGGCAATTCCTCTTTACACAGGCGTTCTACGGTGTGTGTATATCTGGCTGTAAAAAATGATTGGCTGTGCACAGTGGTCTCAAAACCATCACTCTCATTTTACTTATTGGGTGATTCCCGTTATTATAGATGTGCTACTTTTGATATACAGACAGACTGAAAAAGTAGCACATTTATTACAAAATTTATTACTTTTGATAGAGGTCAATTTGGTGCTATCAAACGTAATAAAATTTATGATGGAACTCACKATTCAAAATTTTGAGTCTGTTGAAACACTCTAAAAGACTCAACAGAAAGCCCGCCAAAATCTGAAAACAGAACTGGACAAAATTAAGACTCTTATTTCCTAAACAACAACAACAACAAAAACAACTGACAAGCTGTAGCACCACCATGGTGCTGCTATATACTGCTAGTATTAACTATTGAGACACGTCAGTTCAACAATGTCCTGGTCCATGCTCAGCAAACAGAGCAAGAATAAAAAGAGGAGTAGGAGGCTGTGGGCGACCTCAAAGAGGGAGCTCATTGTCACAAGGAGGAGGAGGCCCACCATTGTCCCATCCCCTATGCTATCTTTGTATCAAAGATGACAGGCAGTGGTAACAACAACACCAGCCAAAGGGCTGGAGTAGCAAACTACTCTCATGATGAGCTAAACAGTCTCGTTGGCATGATACTTCACAGGGTTCCCATCAGTAACAATGAGTGGGATACCATTGTGGCTGACCATGCAAAGCCATGGCCCTTCTTTAGAACCAGGACATCCATCAAGACAAATTATGCAGCTATGAAGAGGATCAAGAGTTCAACAGGAAACCCAAACATGCCAGAGTACATGAAGATGGCACAACAGGCCCATATCTTGATTGGTCATAGAGCAAATCTTGGTACTGGAGAGGAGGACTTTGATCAGAAAAAGGCTATGCAAAAAGTGAGGCTGTGGATGGTTCCGAGCCCACCAAACAAACTGGTGTCCCAGCTGGTGGTCTTCTTGCTGAAGTGGTGGAAGAAGAAGATCCAACCGCCATTCTTGCTGGGGARGAGGAACCTCTTCCTCCTGGAGAGGAGGAAGCAAGCGCGGTAGCTTTTGTCATTGTAAGATCTTCCAGAACCCCTATCGCCAGGAAGAGAGCCTACCAGCAGAAGAAATCCTTGGTCCCTGATGCTGAAGCTTTCACTGAACACATTAAGAGCCAGGAGAAAAGAGAAGAGAAACAAGACAAATGGTATGAGAAAAGAGAGGAACGCAACCTCAAGATCTGGAAGGAAGCTTTTGGTACTGCAGAGAAAGTGGCTAAGGATTTTCTTGGAACTGCTGTTAACATGTTCAATACTTGGCATCAGCAGCAACAACAGCAACAACATTCTTTCCAGCAACACTCTTACCATGGTTGTTGTCCTAGTCCTCCGTAACATTCACACCAGTCTCTACACATTGCTTCCACTTATTTGCAGCCTGCTCCTTCAAACAAACGAGAATGCCAGGAGGAACAAGAATCTCAAGAATCCCATGGGTAGGAGAAGGAAACAAACAAAGATTTAACTCATTAAACTACCATATAAACATGATAAACGATACTACGATACTGATTAAATGAGCTCAGTTGGTTCAGCAGTTCCCATCAGCAACAGCAGCAAGCAACTACAATGCTGTGGATTCCAGTACTTGTTTCACCAGTTTCTATCGCTTTGTGGCTTTCATGCATACTTCTTTTCTATTTTTCATAACTCACCCGGGATTAAATTTCATGTATATACTGCAATGAAGAATATTTATTAAACCAATGTGTTATAACTCAACATAAAGGTATGAGAACTGAGGGAATTAGAATGTATGTGTGTGCCAATCAATGACAGCCGTTGGATGAGGATGCAAACCCTCTTTCTAATCCTGTTTTCAATACACAAAAACCTGGGTTCTACTGTAATTCCGTAGAAGCCGGTAGAAATACAAAAACAAGCAAATACAGCAAGCTGCTGCGAATACAGCAAATACAGCAAGTTACAGCAAGCTCACACTAATTCATTATTCATGTAGTGTAATGATTGAACTAAGTTACTGCTAATTTGATGTAAAGAAAATAAAGAATGATAAGGGGACCATGGCAAGTATCAAGAGTAGGATTCGTAATATGAAGAGTAGGATTCATAATGAAAAGAACAGTGTTGACTTGTAATCGATTACAAGTCAAGTTGACAGTGTTCTTTTCATAACAAATCTCTCTTCTTTTGAAGTAGTATTGATTACAACTCAACATTGTTCTTTTCATTACAAATCTCTCTTCTTTTGTAGTAACCACTGTCTCCAGTTGACCATGGGATTCATCCTTATTACTAAAACACTCCATCTTCATCAGGGGATATTTGCCTACCTACTTCAAAGTACCCTGCAACAAGATCCTCCTTCTCATACGGGACGTCAATGGAAGCCAGAGGTGACTTCATGAAGGTAGATAGGATCTGGTTGTGTCCTATAGTGCTGCACTGGAAGCTATAGTATAAGTTGATGAGGAGGTTCATGATGATCATACGGTCTCCCAGATCTTCCAGGAACATGATGATCCTCCTGTCTCCAAGCTCTTCAAGGAACATTTTGTCTTTGATCCGTGGGAACTGTCCCTGGATCATCCTCATTCCCCATTCAGACATCTGTCTCAGGGACTTGGCATCCCTGTTCAACAAGAGGAGGTGACTGTTGCTAGGTTCCCTCTGTGAGCTCTTGATTAGGCTATCCTGGTATTTCTTCAGTGCAAAGGCTGAGTCAACAACAACCTTGGCGCCCCTACATGTTTTGTTGATCTCCATGATCCTTTCATATACACTGTATTCAGCAATGGCACTGTCATGCCACACCCCAGGGCAGTTGTACACTGCAATCCTGATTCTTCCATCAGGGGCAAAGTAAAACACCCTAGTAAGAAAGGTGTTTTCCTTCCAAGCATTGTAGTATGCTTTTTGTTTGTACCAGTCCTCTGACTGCTCAAGGACGCTCTTGAGACCATCAGCAGCACCCCAGACGCCTTKTTCACCAAGCCTTTGATACTTGTCTCCAATTGCCTGAACATAAGACTCCACTTCATCCTCAGTTGGAACACTGACCATGGCAAGTGGGTGTTTGTGAAGGGCAACAAGCATCACTCTCCAAAAAAACTTGAGCCACTTGTACATCACTGTGGATGTTAAGCCAAACGCCATTGCCATCAACCTTGCTACAGATCCCCTTGTTCTGTACCAGTAAAGGACCAGTCCTATTGCACAGACTGCATCAACCTCTCTCTCCTTTCCCTTTGGCTTGCCACTGGGGTAACAAGGAACCTCCATGATCTCATTGTTCTTGTTCACTGTGTACTTGTTCCACAYTGGAGCAAACAGGTCAACAAGCTCCCCAAAGACCTTGTGGTCCATTCCACAGCAATTGAGGAGAGCTTGATCAACTCCTGAGTGGAACATGTGGAGGAAAGGAGAACAAGCGTATCTCCTGATTGCAATCCTTGGTGTTCTCCTGTCCCTTCGACATCTATCTTCTGGAGAGAGTTTACTTTTGTAAATTCTGTGCTGCTCCTCTGCATTCAACTGGAGGTACCAGTACATTGTAATGACCTCCACTACTCCCATATTGTGGCGTCGTCTYTTGCTGGGATGAAACTGTTGTCTTTTAGTGTGTTTGTCAACTCATCAGCGTAAAACATGGACTCATTTTCTACTGATATCAAAAATAAGCAGAAAATGAGTTCATTTCTTACTCTAGTTGAAAATTTCATGTTTTACTTTGTACCAAACACCAAATGGCAAGCATTTTGAGTCTTTTTAGTCTTTACATTGGAAAGTAGTTAAGATTCCAGATTCCAAAAAAGACCGCAACGAAGGCTGGCTTGCTCTCAGTCTGTCCGTTGCATTTTTGATTCCCATTATTATAGATGTAATAAAAGTGCTAAATATATGAGTTTAGCACATCTATAATATCGGGAATCATCCATTATATGATCATGTCACACGTTTGGGTAGCCTAGAGCTCATTGGTTTCTCCTCAGTGACACTAGTTCCTGCTGCAATCTGTGACCCTTGTTCTTCAGCTGTCTCTTCAACCTCCATTGCTTCATCTACTGTCTCTCTTGGTTCTGTGGTATGATGATCATCTCTGCCTGTGTTTACACCTCTGGTGGTGTCCTGCTCAATCCTATCATCTGCAATTGGGTCCACATCCATGGTCATGTCAACATTCAGCTGTTCAGCTTCCCTGCTCTCAATGTCCTCCTCATCCACATACTCACTTAGTCCTGTTTCTACATATACGTCATTGCTGGCTGGTTGGTATGTTGCGTCAGATTCATCATCATCATCTGTGTTCAGACCATCAGGGCTATCATCCAGGTCCAAGATTGTTGTATTGCCTTCAGCATTTCCAAAATAAACTCTGCTCTGTGTGACCCTTCCCAGCAGCGTCTTGGTGAGCAGTGTTGCTGTAGCTGATCTCTGGTGTATACGCTTTCCACTGTTTAAATCACAGGCATAGAAACCCCCTGTAATTGATCCAGTTGGTTGGAGGTACAGTGCATCCACCATGCATGCCTTCATGGTATTGTCTGTATCATCCACATGGGCAAGGATGGGTTCTATGAATTGAAACTTGCAGTCCTGTCTGGCATCCAAGCACCACACTCCTGTCATTATTTCCCACATTGATTTGGTCCTGTGTACACCTGTTGTCTGACAGTTCAACCAGTATGTAACTATATACATCAACTATATGATGCACCGTTTTGGCAGTCTTTTAAAAGGCAGATGGTTTACATAGCACCTTACATTCTCCTTCAGTGTCTGATTACTACACTCAATTGTTGGTTTGTGTTGGCCAGCTGCAAGAATGCAGTGTAACACCTCAGGCAGGGATAACTTCATCAGGTCATCTTGGAAACACCTGAACTGGTTATTGCTGCTTATTTGTGTCACTGTGAAGCCTCGTGCCTTGTACTGTCCAAGTAGGTTCTCAACATATTCTAACAATATGCTTTATCTCACATTTGTAATTGCTCTCCGGTCCTGAATCTTAGATGTCTGGATATGGAATGGAAGAACTGAACACCATTTACTGTCATGATATTGATGTTAATCATCACTTCACMGTATCGGTCTAACACGTCTGGTGGTACTGGTGACACATCTTCACGCACATGCTTTCCAGGTTGCCACACTCTACTATTCTTTGTTTTACTAGTAGTAGTACCACTACTAGTACTAGTACTAGCACTACTAGCACTAGCAATGATAAAGATAAAGCACTATTCTATGGGCTACTACTACTAGCACTGTATGACTTGTTGCAATAGAAACATCAGATCAACCCCCTTTGATGGTACAAGTTTAGGTGTCTGTGATTGCGTTGATTTTTTACTGCTGGTTATGAGTCATAATTTTGCGAGCCGTTTTTAGTAATGAGCAGCAAGCTTTGCTTGGTTCTTGCTGATGCTAGCAAAAGACCAATCAAAGCCAGAGAATTGGTTAGTCAGAAAGCGTTTTCTTTCCTCTTCACAAACATGTGCATATTGCTATGTGAATTTTGATGAGATCCTTTTCCGGGTAATTGATTACTCTGCGCACAAAAAATGCAAAAAACTCATTTAATAAACCTCATTCATCCAACCTGTTACACMCTTTGGAAAGACCCTTAACCTCCATGACCCAAACAATCTGCATTCAAAGTGCTGTATTCATTATTATTAGGAAGGGGATCCAGAAGTTGTGGATCAATTGACTGAATGCTTTAGAAGATTTTAGCTGTGGTATTCAACCAGCATCAATAACATCAGAAAATCACAACAACAAGCAAAAGAAGCTGCAGTATAACCAGCAAAACAAAGCATATTGCTCCCTCTTCAAAACAATACATGTACTGCATTCCATTCATTATAATAAGGGAAAGGGGATCTGGAAATTGCAGATTGATCTATTGGTTGGTTTATGAGATTATTCTAACAAAAGCTATTACAGCAAAACACCAACAACAAAAGGACCAGTAGCAGTGCAAGTAGCAAAAGAACCATAACAACACATTCAATAGACCTACCGTGTTGAGGGTGTCTTCACCACATTGAATTTGTAGGGATCTGCAAGTTTTGTATTGATCCACCAAGTGGTTTACGAGATTGTTCTAACAATTTGCAAGATGAAGAGAACAGAAGCAGCAACAAAAGCAACAACAAAAGCATCAATAACACTCCCAGCTGCAGCAACACCAGCCATTGGATCTAGTCAAAATAGATGTGCACTTCCTCCCTGTCCAAGGACTATTTTTACTTCAAAGTGGCGCCTCTTTACCTCAAAGGAACAGGGGATTCCTTGTTCTGTAAAAGTGTTCTGTAAAAGAGGCAATGATCATTGCTAAATTTTCAACGGATGAAGTCACTAACACAACACTTCAAAGAAGAGTCCAAAGATGCCAATTTAGAATGAAAGCGCCACCTTGTGAGTTTTTTGGTACTGATGTTAGTGTTGCTGGTGTTGGTGAAAGTGCAGGAACAGATGAAGGTGAGGAATGTCCCTCCTCCACAGCCTACTTGGAGGGAGTCTGATGAAGCTCAACTTGTGAAGAAGCTGAGGGAAGAGGAGATAACACCAATCAGGGACACTGAATTAGGAAAGGAGAGAGCAAGGCTTCAAAAAGAATCCCTGAACTACATTGTAAGCATGACTGAAGAAGAGAGAGCTGCATACAATATGCCTGTGGAAGTGCTGCAGGGAGTAAAGGGACTGGTGGTTGGTGATCCAGTAGTTGGTGATCCAGTAGTTGGTGGCGAAGTTGCTGAAGTGTGGTAAGAGCAGTTTCCAGTCGCCTTAGAGAGCGCTCCAGTAGTAAGCAATTTATGTTAGTAAGAGATGCTATCTGTTCTTGGAAACGATTTCGAGTTTGATTTTATTCCATGTTAGTAGTAGTGTCCGGGTATCGATTTCTTTTCGCCCATCTGAGTTCTCAACATCATAAAGTGAGCTCGGAAACACTCCGAAATAGAAAATCCTTCAACTGAAATAGTTTTTTTGACAGGTAGGCTAGTTGTTCTTTGCGTAGGGCTGTGTAGAAAATGTAGCACAAAAAAGCTGTTTCACGATCACAGACACGTAAACTCGTACCACTAGAATCCTCCGACAAAGTATCTTGCGTTCAAGCATCGTACGAGTTACCAGTACTGTACAGTACGYAGAGATAATTTCCCTTTTTTTTTCTCTTCTTGACTTCACTTTTGGCCTCTTAAGAATTTTTGTCTCGCTTCTCAAAATCTTGTTTCAAACGATTGGTGGTTTGATTGATGGGAAAGAACAATCAGAACAAATGATTGGTCGCGGAGACCCCGAGTTGACGTTTTTCAACAAATCAAAAAATTCTATCAGATCAGAAGTACAACCAGAACGACACCGACCGTTCAATCACCTGATGCCTTAAAGGGTGGAACAAACCATGTGGGTTTGATCGATGTCTGAACGAGAAGGCTTTCAAATAAAAAAAAGGATTCACAGCTGCGTTGTGATTCATTTCCGGATTGCACGATACTGTAAATCATAAATCAACCATAAATGACTACGTACCGTATTGGTCTGACCTGATAATTTCGTTTCTTTTTGAAGAAAGCATAGTTTTAAACCTCCCAAAACCGCAATACCTTTATTACCGTACCAAACYTATTCTCCAGAGACTAAAACGACATGAATCCTATCAGACTGCTTCTCGTATTTCTATCCACGACAATGGTGCATTCCTTTACCGGATCCCTCTTGGCCCGTCCTCACGACGGCGCCCTCTTCTCGACCACGGGAAAGGAGGTGATGAGCGACATCGACATTATGTGTCTAGAGAACGCCGCTGATCTGTGTTCGTACTACGACGAGTGCGATATTGAAGAGCGCGAGGCGATTCTTAACCGATTCGCCGCCGAGACGGAGATCATGGTCAACAGGATTGCTACAATGAACGGCCTCGTCAAGCACCTCAAGACCGGCGACCACAAGCACCTGGAAGACGAAGAGGTCGAGAGCCTGGGCGCAAAGATTCTCGATCTGTTGGACACCGAGGTTCGAAGTGGCGAGGGTCTATCGCCKTGAAACAAGGTCACGAGTCGCACTCGCATTTAGAACAAGAGTCGCAAACATTGTTTCCCTTCAATCCGAACATATTCGACGATGGAAAAAGAAACGTCATGTCATCCAATCGGATATTTTCCGACCGTGTTTGAGCGAAGAGCTAATCGGACTATCGCTACTTACATGSATGCATGCATGCATCGTGCTTTTRACAYCTAGCGACTGATGTTTTGTCAACAGCTAGTACTATTTCTACTACTTCATTCCATGTTTGACTTRAAATGGTGTKCTGACTGACAATAACATTCCATCACTCGCCGTCCATAGTTTTTCGTTAGCCATTACTCGATTACTCKATATTTCGTGCATGACATAATGTTTCTAATAGTGCTATCACCACCAGCAGTTTACTCGTATTCTCGAAATACTGTAATAGAGGGCCCAGTACTTCAGTATTTTGTATTTTTGGTTGTGTTGTTACGCGAAGCGAAGCTACTTTTATGAAATGTGCGTATGAGCAGGGGTCACCCCTGCGTATGAGTACGTAACCCCCTCTTTCGAGAGAAAAATCAAAATAATGTTCGATGTCGAATGAGGACGAATCTTCCGTATGTAGAGTACATGAATTAGGTAAGTACCTACCTACCTTCAGAGCAATCACAACGATAAAAAAATGAGTTTCACTCGTGCATTCTTTTTTTAAACTCGACAAGAATGGCCTTTCTTTCTTCTTGCTTTTCAACGGCAACTAAGTACGAAGTACTGTACTACGTACGCACGATACTCRTACTCACAATWGTGTATTTAAGGTACGTATGCTCGGGTGGGCTTATTCGTATTCATCGACCAGTTAGAGTACGAACTACTGTACTTCGTACCAACTACGAGTATTGCTGTACCTGTACGTACGAGTACGAGTACGTACCCTTCATTATGTTCGTTACACTCTCTAACAACGGTGGTACTTAGCACGAGTACTACGAGGGACTTTCAGTCAAGATTTCGAAACTGCTGTTCGAATGCAGTATGGTACAGTAAGTTCCTTGCCTCGTGGTGCTACCGGTATCGTGATGCAAAGCACGATACCCGATACGGATAAAAACATCSTTCTACAATCTGACCACAATTTTATCACAATCATTATCAGCAGCAGCAATAGGTAGTTGCTCACAAGTCCCTCGTCTGTTTTCTTTCTCTGTGATACTGCGTGATTAGTCATCGGAAATCCGGGCAAGAACGACTACAACACTTCGAACAAGCATCTAACATGGATGACACGAAAAAAATTCCAACGGCCGCGGCGTCATCGATGTCCGAGTTTCTGGCATTGGATGACCCCAAAAAGGAAGCGAAGACGATTGGTAGGATTAGGAGAGACGAGACCTCCCGACAACGCTTTCACAACAAGCTGTCCTTCGCACTGACAGCCACGACTCTGCTCTTGCTGGGCGTGCTTTCCGCTTTATTTGGCGGCGCCCCTAGTGATCATTCTAGCGGAGATGGCCTTAGTTTCGGATCCACTGCTCGGTGGTTGGAAGATGCCTCCGACGATGGCAGCAGCAGCAGTGCCAACGATAATGGTGATTACAGCGCCTACTCGTGCCAATATATCTACGATACGGTTTCCGACGCCGAAGACCTCTGCAGTTTTGCGAAGACATGCAACGATGGCGAGGGAGTCTGGGCTCCCTGGGTCTTTTGTTCGTCGAAGCTGAGCATTAACGCCGCCTTTGSGGTCCTCAGCCCGCTCATTGTCGTCTGGATGGTCACCCTTTTTCGGCTGCTGGGAAGCACGGCCGAAGATTTCTTTTCCTGCAGCCTGGAAATGTTCTCGCTCAAGCTGGGACTTCCGCCCAGGTTTGCAGGTGTAACTCTACTGGCACTCGGCAACGGTGCGGCGGATGTCTCGGCCACTATGTCGGCCATCATCAGCGACGAAGAAAACGGATACAAACTCAGCCTGGGTGCGCTGACCGGGGCCGCCATGCTGGTAGGGGGTGTCGTGAGCGGTATTGTGGTCCTCGTAGCGGGCGGTGTCAAGTGCAGGGGGGCATTGATCCGCGATATCATGGCGCTGGTGGTTACCGTTGTGGTTGTGTGGAACAACCTGTCGGCAGGGGTTGTCACAAGGGGAGACACAACCTTCTTTTTTGGATTGTATGGATTTTTCGTTGCCTCGGTTCTGGCGGCCGACGTCTATCACCGAGCGGTGGTCCTGCCCCGAATGGAGGCCATTTCTGCCGCGATCAGCGATGCCGAACACGGGGACGGAACCCCCGTGATCCCCGGGCCTCCCCCCAATGCCTTTATGCGGATAGTGACCAGCATCAGCAACTACGACAATGCGTGCGTCACGATGGCGGCTCCCAACGCAACCGAAAATCCCGTTCTAGAAACGCAACAGGAACTCGTGGAACCCGTCAACGCAGCCACCACTACGACGCCGTCCGTCACCATCACCAATGCATCGGATGCGGGCGTCAACGAGGAGCCCATCGTCCTGCACGGCCAGCACGGCATCCTGGGTGGGAACCACCACCACACCCCCCACGCTGCTGCTCCCTCGCGGAACCTAGAAGTGGACACCCACGACCAGGGGGGAGTGTATACGCTGGTCGAAGACCACATCGATCGCGTTTGCGTCGGGGCCGGATCGCCGGGCATACCCTCCTACAACTGGAACGGTGCCTGGTGCGATGGCAAAGAAGAAATTTCGGAGGAGCTGGCCAATCTGTGGTTCCAGATATCGCTGGGCGAGGACGGAGAGCTGAAATGGTACGAACGGTTTCTGCTGCTCTGTGAATTTCCTTTCACGATCCTGCGAAAGGTGAGAACTCRTGCCGTGTCGTGCCGTGCTCGACTCGTATCGTTGYGGGGTGTTATCGCATCGCGCTACAGTCCGACTTTTGGGGTGACACCGAGTCTCTCATCTTTGCCTTTTCTTCTTGCGTTTTCCCCCCATCTTCGTGTGCGCATGTTGTTCCCATTGTTTCAATTTTGGCTCTCGCACAATTCACGGGCTTTTATTCAGGTAACGATTCCCATTCCTTGTGAAGGGTACTACAACAGAGGGTTTGTTTCGCTCTCTGTTGCTCTTTCTCCCTTTTGGTTTGCGTACTATTTGCTGGTCCAACACGAAATTAATCTCTGGTCAAAGGATTCGCTTCCGTATTTTATGATATATTTCGGAATATCCGCATTGATTGGTCTTCTTGTCCTTCGGTTTGCCCCGGGTGGAGAAGGCAACATGTCGCTGATCGCTGCAACCCCCATTGCCTTTTACGGTTTTGTGATGGCGGCAACATGGATCGATTTCATCGCGGATCGCTTGGTGGCCCTGCTAAATTTCATCGGCATCATCTTGCACATCCCCGGTGCCATTATGGGCCTCACCATTCTTGCCTGGGGAAACTCCGTGGGCGATCTGAGCGCGAATATCACTATGGCCCGAAAGGGGCTGGCAAACATGGCGATGACGGCCTGTTTTGCCGGGCCCGTCTTCAATATTTTGCTAGGACTGGGACTGGGATTCCGCAGCCTGGAAGCCCAGACCGGAAAGGAAGAATCGGTCGTTTCCCTCTCGTCTCCGATTCTTGCCGGCTTTGTCTTTATAATTCTGAACTGCGCAACGATCCTCACGGTGGGCGTATTCATCGGAAAAGGGCGCATCGAGGTCAGCTACGGTTATGTGGCGGTCGCACTGTATACGATCTACGTAATCACGTCGATCACCCTTGAGTTTCGAAGCTAGTTGCTGGTGTTCTGGTCGACGATACGGATCAAGACTTGAAAGATGAGAAAGGAATGCCAAGAAACACCTCTGATTAGAGTGATGCCTGCGAGGCGCATGCTACGTCAATACAGTACTTYGTACCGTACTACGTACCGTACTACAAGTATTTATTAAAAAATATGTTTATATTCTCGAGAGTCAAGTACGTAATTGACGCAATTGTATTCGAGCTAGCATGTCCTTGTTATTGAAAGGTATAGGTTCTTTTCTAAGTATCGATGTTCATACTGTCTATCTTCTCACGAAGCAGGACCATTGTAGCAGGATTTGTCCTGCAGCAACCCCCTATAACTATTTTCGGAACGCGATGCTTCGGCGCTTCTTTGTTCGTCTCTGCTAATGCTTCGCTTGTGCGTTCGGTCTGAAAAGCGTCTCGAATGATGGAAATAGCCTCCATCAACCGATCTGCGATTTGGTGGTCGGYGGCCCCGGAACCCTCAGTCCAGTCCTCGTTCGCAGCATCCCAGTTCTCTCCCGAATTGGGATAAATTACAATGCTGCGGCGGCCACCATCTACCCTTATCAGAGTTCTAACGAGCGAGGCTATGAATGCACTGTCGCAACAATTTATACCAACCGCGGTTATCCATTTCCCGTTCGGATCGTGCAATTGGATGAGCCGAAGAGCCTCTTCTATGGTATGGCCATCGTTCAATTCGTTTCCGTTTCGGCACGCCAGTGATACCCAGCAAGCGACGGGCGGTTCTCGATCTTCTCGACGCTGCTGCAAATCCCGCAACACCTCGCATACGACCCCGACCTCCTGAAGGTTTGGAATCGTCTCGACCGCAATGCCGTCCGGTTTTCCTTCCACCAGCAATGTGTGGGCCTTGCGGGAATGAAAGCACACTAACGCTTCTCTCGTGACATGGGGTGGATACTTGCCGGTGTATTCGGACCCGTCGGCCATTGCAGCACCATAGGGACCAGTGCTTGCAACGACAAAAGGCCCGAGAGCTACAAATGGCGTCGAGAACGACGTCAAACGTCGTGGTTCAGTGCGTTCCTTGATTGCTTTTCTGGCCAAGAAGATCCCATCGACCATCATCTCTCTCATTTTGAATTGTGTCGGTTTTGTTGCATCAAGTCCCTGCATCTCGTCACTGCCGATTCCTTCTTCCTTGTTCAAACCCTGCGCCGCTTCCGTAGCCGTTGCGGCTATGGCGGTGCTAAGATYGTTTTTACAACCGCGGRTGATTGATGGGTTTTGGGGGACGTCAGCCTGGACAAGGCCGTAATGGCATTGGTATGTGACGGTGGTCAAAATGTCGCATCCCGAACTCAACCAATCTTGGTGACCTCTGACTATGAAATCTCTCCCCTCCTCTGACAACAATAAAGATGAGGACCAGAGAGACCGATTGCAGAAGCTTTTGGGAGAGATGATATTCTCCAAATGCTAAAAGAATGGAAGCGCATACGAGATAATTGGGTGAAAAGGGATGCTACAATGTATGTTTCTCAGAAGCTTGCCGTRTGGCTTCGCTGGTGAATTACTTACTGTCGACACACCGCCATCCATCAAGAGCACTTGTGGCAGCACCGATGAAGAAGAATGGAACCAATCTTGGAGAGAGAGAGAAATCGCGTGTGGCACAAGTGCCGGCGCAGAATTCAAAGAAGAAAATTCCATGATCCCGTCTAGCAGCAATAGAAAAATATCAATCCAATCAATCAATCAATCAATCAATCGTCCAAATATTATTTTCCATTTTCTCGTCGTGGGATAGATTTGACTATGGTTGTCGCCGAACGAACTGTCCTGCTACTTCCAAGGAAAACAAGGCTTTGGTATTGAGTCTTTTCGTCGATCCTTCTTTCTGTTTAACCGATGATTGATGGTGCGGTACGAAATGATTCTTCCTTACTAAAATTATCAAAACGCCAAAACGGACCGGAATCGATCAACAACCTACCGGTATCATCGAAAGCCTCTTCATTCCCATCAAAAATATGAAAAAGGTCCCAGTCTTATCTTCCAAAAAAATTATTTTCACCAGAAAGTCTAACAAGCCCGCACGCTAGTTTTTCTTTTTAGGCTCTTTAAAAATTAAATTATTTAAATTTCGAGCACAACGGTCCGAAATCGCACATACAGTCCTAGAGTTAGTTGCTTATTGATGCGCTACGGTGACCACATACATACACCAAAAAATAAGAAAACAAGCAATGTAACCACCTTGTTGTTTTAAGACCGTCACATGAACCAAAAGCATTGAGACACTCATATCTACCGAAAGCGCCAAGTAGTGAATGTAACCAATGATATAGAAATGACAGAAAAGATACAGGAAAGAGATTGAGAACAATGAAGAGAGTGCTTGGGACAAGACCTGCATCCGTCAGAGAAGATGTTGGAAAAAGCAGCAATGGCGTACCACCGTCGTCGTCGTCATCGTCATCCTTTTCGTCGTCACTGTTGTCGTCGCTTTCTTCGAACCCACCTGGTGAMGACAGCACGATCACCACCAATGTGCAGGTTTGTGCAAGGATCCGGCCCCTAATTAAATCCAGTCCTTCGAAACCCACGAGACGACTAAGTTTTATTCCGGGTGGAAACTCTCGCAGTCCGAGGAAGTCGGGACCTTTTTCCGACACCAGAACAACATACGATCAGTCCAATGTGCAGGATGACGGTGACTTTGTCGCCTGGGATATCTCGAGGGATAGAAGAACTGCATCTCAATCCGATAGAACAGAAAAAATCCAAGGCCGTACGCATTCTTACACGCTTGATCGGCTTTTTGGAAGTGAGTCGACAACCCATGAAATCTACGACGAATCTGTAGCCTCTTTAGTGAAAGCTGCCATGGAAGGCTACAATTCTACGGTATTAGCATATGGTCAGACTTCAACAGGAAAAACGCACACAATGACAGGAAAGCAGAAAGCACCAGGTTTAATACCACTGTGTGTTAGGGATTGTTTTAACTACATTCAAGATAATCCTTCCGCAGAATCCAGAGAATATCTTTTTCGGTTCAGTTACTTGGAAATATACAAAGAAAACATACGTGACCTTTTATCTTCTTCGTCCTCTGCATCAGAGCCGGTCCGACTGTTTGACGGGCCTAATGGTCTTATTATTCGTGGACTCAAAGAGGAAGTTGTTTCATCTCCCGAGAAGGTCTTCAAACTTCTTAGGCAGGGCGAGAAGAGACGGCAAGTTGGGGCGACTCATATGAACCAACATTCGAGCCGATCTCATGCCGTTATGCGCTTAAAGATTGAATCTTCCTCTACAATTGATAGACGTGACAGAACCCGTGTTTCTCTCCTTTCGTTAGTTGATTTGGCGGGAAGTGAATCAGTACGGCTGAACGGTGTAGAACGAAGAGACGAAGGACAATACATAAACAAGTCACTCATGGCGCTCGGCCAATGTGTACTTGGCCTCTCTGAATCAAGCAAAAGCGAAGGTGGAAAGAAAATCAACCGAAGCCATATTCCTTTTCGTGACTCGAAACTTACTCGAATGTTACAATCGTCGCTATCTGGAAACGCCAAGATGTTATTAATGTGTTGCATCAGCCCATTAGCATCTCACATGGAAGAATCTCACAATACTTTCAAATTTGCAACCCGAGCTAAACGTATCGAACAAACGGCAACAATACAAACAGCCGGAGACAAAGAAGAAACATTGCTTCAGACTTATCGCGATGAAATTGAAGATTTGAAGAAACAATTGGCAGAAGCTGCAGAGCAGAAGCAAACACTTTTAAATGAGCAACGGGAATACCAAGCGATGAAGGAACGTCAAAACATTCTACAGTCAACAGAGGATGAAATAGAAGTGGTTGCTACTCTCCCGCCACAATCCGATATCAACAACATTAYTACTTCAAACACTATGGAATCGACCACAGAGGAGATTGAAGAATTGGTTGAAGCTATCCAAACGATGGAACACTTAATCCTCAAAAGCCGATCGCTTCAGCAGCGTTCTTCGAGTAACCCAGAGGCTGCTGAAAATAATGACACAATTCTAGAAACGAATAGTAGTTGCGATTCAGAAAAATTGGAAGATTTTCTCGACTATGCCTTGGAATCTTCCAAAACAGAAGACCTATTGGTGGATAACAAGACTTGTGCTGTACCAAGTAGTACGAACGATGTTACTACCAGTCCTTTAGACCCCAAAAGCATGGCAAACACTGAAGATAAGCTTCATTCGGAGTTGACTCGAATTCGAGGTCTTCTAGGATCTGTATTACAGAAGAGGGGTGTGCCGAGTAAGATAGTGCGGAAGAGTCTGGATTTTTCAACCCCAGCTCGTGGTCCTCTGCAGTCACGAAATGCACTTGATCAGTCTTTATCAGACGAACTCGAAGTAGGAACTGGCGCTGAAGGGAATATCAACGAACGTTATGGCACAACGAAAGAGGATGCCGAAGAAAAGAAAGCTGAATTGGAGTCACTTCGAATGCAACTTGAACAGCAGGAACGGACGACAAGTTTGCGAAAAGCTGATTCTCATTTTCTGCAGCGCCAACTAGAAGAAAAAGACATGCTGCTAGAAGAAGTTTCCAGTTTGCTCGAAGCAGTAGAGAGGCGACAGGGAGAGTTGGAACGAGAAAATTTTGCCCTGAAGGTAGAACTGAGTAGGCTAAGAGATGAGAAGGGTTTTGAAGTGTAATCATAATATGCGAACAAAGGATTCTTCCTGGGTTCTGGCCCTGGTTGATAGGTTGAAACACGCACGTATTGAAGTCGTTCTTAGCTCCACTTTCCACACTAACCATACCATAAAGCGAACATTTTTCTTGGGTCAAATTAATTTAAGCTGGAGTCTATGGGCTGATACTTTCGTCCCAAATCAACTGTCCTTCATGACCATGTCATGCTGAATCTTGGTCTGTACGGGTAAAGTACGTGTGAAGATTCAATGCTAATTTCGTACCGTACGTACGGTACGCTTACCTGGTACTGTACTGTACGTTTATTTTTTCGTACGGTAGGTGTTCACAATCGTGAATTATAAACCTCTGTTCTACTGTACTAGGTACCGTACATTACAGTACGAGTAACTCGTACAGGCACATTTTTTGTTTTCATTCTTCTCGCGCTTACGTATCGGTACCTTACTCGTACGTACTCAGAGCCCAGACCCCTGCCGGTGGTACTGTAACGCACTAACGGTTCAGCTCCGAACTGTACTAAAAGCAGGNTTATTTTTTCGTACGGTAGGTGTTCACAATCGTGAATTATAAACCTCTGTTCTACTGTACTAGGTACCGTACATTACAGTACGAGTAACTCGTACCGGCACATTTTTTGTTTTCATTCTTCTCGCGCTTACGTATCGGTTGTGAGGTAGTACACACACCACAATCACGAGTAGCTAGTGAATAACCTCACTCTTTATTGTAAACCACGTATTATCATGCAGTAAGGAGCCTAACAACATTTCACAGGTTATGAGCAACAAGAAGGACTTACCTCCTCTTATCTAACTCACTAACCATCATCAGACCACAAGAAAGCAGACTGATTTACTGCTCATTTTTCCAGCGTCCGCAGAGGAGCCAGAATCTCTTTGCAACCTGGATCCCCGGAAGATACTTTTGCGACGACAAAATTCTCCGGATGAGAGGAGAACCCAGTACTAAATCACGTAGAACTCTACGCTACCTTCTCCTCGGAACCCCCACGGTGACACCACCCTTCGGGACTGTTGCCGAACACCATTACACTTTAGATGATGTATTCCATACTACATAATACAACACCATGGCAAAAACAAAACGCACTCAGCACTCCTCCAAAAAGGACAAAGGACGCCACATCCGAGACTTCCTCGTCCCTTCCCCACGAAGACCCCACAGAGGACAACACAGACTCGAACTCGTAGTGTTCAACGGCAATATCCAACGCGAACTCCGCACCTTGGAACTATTATTCCCAGTGGACTCCAACCCCATTGACATCTACAATGGATCCCTTTTCCCATTTAAACCAATGCACACACCCAATCCGGATACATACAACAACAGCATCCACAACATCCACACCACAGAACTTCCCGACAGCGACAAAATTGTTATGCTAGGGGAAGATCTCAGTACACTCCTCCATCCCAATCACTTTCGCCAACCACCAGTCACTACTCCAAATGAAACTCCACGCCACCAGTACAGCCGGGCCCTCCTCTCACACATGTACTCGATACTCCCCCTCAATCAAGACACTCCACCAGCCACTATCACGAAGCGTCGCCAATCCAAACCTCCCCAACGTATGGATTCGAGCCCTGATATAACCCCTCCCAAACGTATGCAATCAAGCCCTCCCAAACGTATGCAATCAAGCCCACGTATACAGTCAAGCCCTAACACACCTCCTAAACGGACACCTTTATCACATGGTGCGGATGATTCGGACGTTGAATCCGACTCATCCAACAGTAACTCACTACCAACACCCCCAACCGATCTTCGTGAGCGATTCGCCGCTGAATACTATGAGGCAACCAACACTCATCAGCAGACCCTCCCACTCCCTGCTACAAATACTGCGGATCCTCCCCTCAACGACTCCTCCCTCAATGAGGATGGCACCACTGAAAACAATCAACTGGAGAAGTCAACGGGCATAGATAACATCATCGATACATACGATAGAGGGTTCAATGCCATTGACAACCAATTGGACACCATTCGCAAGAGCTTGAACAATGATTCCCCTCCCCCAACGGCAGCTTCACAAGAGGAACTCATTGACCTCATAAATACTGCTGTTAACCGAAACTCAACAACCTGGCAAGCAAAATTACAATCTGCCTCCCAGGAGTGGACAGAGCAATTTGAATCAATCAAGAACACCGTGGAAGCAATGCAAACGGCAATCAAAATTAAAGATCAGAACATAGAACGAGCTCACAACGACTTGTCTCAAGCTCACAAAGATCTCAATCGAGCAAGAGACACAATCACACATCTTACAGATCAATTAGGACAAGCACTGGCCCAGAATCAACTACTCACCAGTCAAATATCCACCGCTACGACGCTCTCACACGACCTGTCCACAGCAGCATCCACTACTTGGGCCCTCGAGCAACGCATCACAAAAGCCTCCACTGTATTATCAAGCCTCAAATCCCACACGATTGCCCTCTCCACATCGATAGATGAAGCCAGCAGCATCACCTCCAAAACACCCACCACACTTGAAATTAGCCAACTAATTGAAGCTATCATTGACAAACGCAAGACAGCTCTCATTACTCTTGGCCAACAGATTGAAGAACAGACAGCCTCAACAGCATCACAACATATCAAAACGATGGATGCTAATCTCCATGAAATTGATACCAAAATTCGCTCTATCATCCAACACAATATTGCGGATCTGGCTTCAACCAAACAGGAACCCATGGTGCAAAGCATTAAAGATAAGATCTGTACAGCAGCACTTCAAGAGGTTAAAGAACAAGCAAACACCATGTCAGCTCAACTGACAACTGAGGCACATCAGAACAAGAATCACCTCAAGCAAACAACACAAAACATGTTATCACAGCTACACTCAACACATGCTGACCTCACAACGAAAGTCCACACTGATTTAGAACATGCCGTTATGGCTCACCTTAATTCGGATACGGTTGCGGCAACCATTACAGATCTCCTCACTGACTCTCTTTCCTCCATCATTAAGTCTACACGATTCACCACCAACATGGACAAAACACTAACCAAATGTATAGAGGAATCCGCGTCTGTCAAGGAACTCATCTTTCGCCATATCAACCTAGCGATGCATACCTCGGCCAGTATCAAACGAACGAAATCAACACAGTCTCATTCCCAGACAGTCCATGATTCAGACCCTGGTGAAGACCTCGATGATATACCAACACCTCCATCGGACACAGACTCGGACTCGACAGATGCCCCCTGGACAAAGGACAGCAACCCCGAGAGACGCCGCTTCAGATCCCAACGTGTCCAGGATTACAAAGCACGGCAGGATCGGATTGATAATGACATTGTTCATGCCCGGAATCACAGGATTAGCAAAGCCATCAGAGCAATTGAAAATAAACACATTGATTCCAATCTCCTCCCACAGGAAAATCGATATCTTACATCCACGGAATTCAATGCCATCTACAACGACCTGTATAGCATCTTCACCCTCGAAAGTCTTCCATTCACTCACTTGGATGAACTACACATACATCAGAGCTGCCTTCCTCCAAACCATGATGAATCAGAAGATAACATTCGCAAGATTAGTACATTCCTCTACCAAAGGCTATCACAAACAATCGATGCATCACTGACCAAACTGCGAGGCCTCATTACACCGTCTGGCCACCGCATGGATGGATATGAAGCTCTCTTTGCCATTGCACGGAACTCCCTAACCTACCTCCGACCGACGGCTACAGGATGGGGACCTGCATGGACTTCTAATGATGAACCAGGATCCTATGCTGGCAGACTCATCGAATTCATTCGGCATAGCCGATTGTCACGGCAACACAACTACTCTGAACTGGATCAGAGCTTTGAATTTGCGGCTCAAATAATGAATAATTACAACTTTGCAGCCGGCAATTACCTCATGTTTGAACTGAATACATTCAAACGCATGAACCCCAACCCCACATCCAACACGCCTCCCCCTCATTTACGATTGGCATCGATGATTGCTACGGTTCTGGATTACCCCAGTAACCCACCATCACTTACTCACACGGAACGAGTGACCCCACAAATCCACCGTGTGGACACACCACGGAGGAAATTTGAATACAAGAACAAAGTACAATGCCAGTGCTGCAAAACGTATGGACACGACGTAGGCGATCAAATTTGTCGATTTGGTGCACAACTCCACCATGCACAACGATATGCGAAAGCTCATCCAACCGAGTTCAATAGCAATGCTGACAAACACCTCAGGATGCACATGACCAAAGTCGTGAAACTCTTCGAGGCAAAACTAGGGAGCTCGGTATCAACCAAAGCACAACATGAACACGGACGAGAGGAATGGGTAACTGCATTGGCCCCGGACGACTCAACAACACCATCATCTACGGAAGATGAATAGGATTTATGCCGGACTCCTAGCGGGGTCCGGCCTATCCCGGACTATCGTCGGTGTATCGAATATCTCCAATTCCCACCAGCACGACCGTCCCACCCAGATACAGCGCTATTTCCCTTACCTTCCCCATCCCCAGATACCACCGACACGGCGGAACCTAAACCCATTGTGAACACTGTTATCGACGATAGGATTCCTGACAGCTGTAATACTAACTATGATAGTTGCACTACGGCTCGCGGCACTACCGACGAACAACTAACTCCTACAGACTGCCCTGTAGGATGCAGTACTGTGAACCACCCCGCATCAAGCCCTACGTCCGACATCGTAGACCATCCTACGGACAAAAGACCGTTCACATCAAAACCTGATCCACCCCATTCTACGACATATGTCGTGGACTATGATACTGATTCCACTCCCAGTACCAAGAATGACACTCACACACCCATTACTGTTAACAACAGCAACAGCATCAATAAGTGCATTCCAACGCTGAACACTGATACTACAATATCAGACTCAACGCTTACAAATGACCTTACGCCCTTCTGCTTCTACGGCAACTCCCTTGCCTCAGAACAGCCCACGGGACCATCCTTGCGCATGACGTCACACACCTACCGTAAGAATACACGTGCTCACCTCCACCTAACGCTTCCTGGATCTCCCCAGCCTACAGTCAAACAGCTACAAACTATACGAACCCCGTCGCACTCCAATGCTGTCACCCTTCCGCTCCAGCCGGATACGGGCGCTAATATATCAGCAACTGATAACAACTCCCTACTACACAACTATATACCATACAACACCCCTGAGGAAGTAGGAGTCTTCAGCGCGAACACCGATTCACTACAGAATGTACTGTCAGCCTACGGAGAAGGTTTTATTAAGCTCATTTCAGACCAAGGCACGATTATGCGTTGGCATACACTCTATACGCCGAAGTCTACAGGAACAGTCCTTTCTCCTGATAACTACTACAAGTTACACGGATTCTACGCGTTTCAGCAGGAAGGCAACGATACAAACAAAGGAACAGTACGCTTCCTAAACAGTGCTAGGGACACAATACAGTCTATTCAAACAGTCCGGAATGACAATGGGGAATGGTATACTACGAATAAAGTCCTCATCACGAACCCACATGAGCAGGAACACAGGGCCAGCGAATTGCGCAACTATCGCCACCAAGTAAGTACCCTATCCGGCTCGGTATCCACCTCGACTGATGAAACCCCCTCGGCAAAACCATTAGGACTCTCCAATGCGCTGAAGAACTTAGAACTATGGCACCAGCGCTATGGTCATATCTCTCCTTCCACATTAGTCAAAACACAGCGAGTAGTTGAGGGAATACCCAAAATCCCCTCCTCCACTCCGTACTTTCGATGCCCATTCTGTGAAAAGAGCAAAATGACCAAATACCACGGTACACGAAAGACCCCTAGTACTGAGAAATTCATCCCTGGACAATCATTCCATATGGACCTCTCTTTCGTTAGTGGCCCACCAAACTTAGCAGCAATCCTAAAGACCAATGCTAAACCCTTACCATCACTCAAAAAGAGCAGAACCGGCCACATTGGATTCCTCACAATAATCGATGCTGCTACTAGAGCACTATGGACGTTTCCTCTCAAATCCAAAGACCCACCAATCCAAATCGTTGATTCCTTTCTGCGTAAACATGGGATACGGAACACTGACCCACGCCTTGCTATTACCACCACTCAGGATGGATATTTAGCGCGCTCACGTTCCTTCACTAACACTGCTGAAACACATAAATATTCTGTTGACCATGCGGCTCCCACACATCTGTCTCATCTCCTTCCGGATCATCTTGACTGCACTGTAATGACTGATGGAGGCGGCGAACTTTCTAAATCTAACACTTTTCAACAAACTGCTTCGCTTCATGGCTATGACACTGTTTCCACAGCTGCCGACACCTCCTCTCAAAACGGCATCGCAGAGCGACCTCACAGAACTCTCAAGGAAAGAATCCGGTGTCTCCTTTATGCAGCAGGTCTTGGTACTGAATACTGGACAGATGCTCTTCTCCATGCAACATGGCTCTATAATAGGACCTATCACAGCGCCATCGATATGACACCCATACAAGCTTACACTGGTCGCATCCCCCTCATGGACAATCTGATCACCTTTGGGGCCAAAATAACTGCCAAGCGTCCAGGTACGAGACCCTCGACAACCAACCCTTGGACCTATGAGGGGATCTTCTTGGGGTATGGAAAGACAATGGACAACATCAAATACTTTGATATCCACACTGGCACCGACAAGACAGCTCGCCACGACTCTAAGGATGAATTACAGTATGGAGATGACCCACAGAACAGATCTCCAGCTGCTTCACACCTCCTGAGTGTGTTCACGGAAGCAACTGACCACACAACACACACCACGAATACTGACTCCGAAACTATCAAAATGACACTGACTAATACTAAGCCCACTGACCCAACGGCCCTAATAAGCGATATAATCCGGGATTCACCAACCAGCTATACAGCAGCTGCCGCTGCCAAGCTCACGGCACGGATCAATCGAACCAAGTTTGAACGACCACCAATCGATATCCTCATCCCTGAACTGGAGACCCTCGATATCTCCACCAACATGTTCATCTCTGAAACATCTCATACTCTCCCCCTCCGCAACACTAACACCTTCCACCCTACGATGGGCTTCATCGTTGCCCCTCATCCGGATATTGCGGACGCCTTGGAAGTCACAGCCCTCCAGGTTGGCACTATTGCACATGCTCATATTCGAAACTGGAAAAGAAGACTGAGGGGCACTGTTATCACCTCAGTCAATGGCAATCGCATCAGGTCCCATGCTGATCTTATTCGAGCAATCAAACAAGCAAAAGACTCACACACACCCACTATCAAATTTACATTTGGATCCCTCACCGGCTTTGCAATGAGTGGCGAGGGCGTCCCCACACTTCAGGCTGACCAACTTAATGTTATTGCTCATCACTTGCACTCCCTTAATTTTGATCAGGACCTATGGATAGACAAAACACAATGGCCCCCAGCCATTGACTCTCCTGAAGTAGCCAATGAATGCGTCCGTATTGCGAAACTAACACGCTCAACACTCCGGGGAACTGCAAAATGGGAGGGCTTTCTTCACTCCGAATGGAAACAGCTTAATAGATACCACAAGGTGGGCATGTTTGGTGATCCTATCCCATCTACATCAGAGATGACCATACTTCCCTGGGTTTGGACCTATTTAGAGAAGGAAAACCCACTCACGGGCATTGATGAGCCTAAATCCCGAGGCACATGCAATGGCGGCAAAAGATACGGACAGGCAGTTACACTGGCTGAAACCTATGCATCCTGTGTAGAACAACCTATTCACAGACTGACCTGGGCCCTTTCTGCTGCACTGAACCTCAAATGTGTTGGCTATGATGTGGGCAATGCATTTGCTGAAGCCCCAGCTCCTAAGAGCCCCTTCTTTATGCGAGTGGATGATCCCTTTCAGCAATGGTGGACCGAATGCCTTCAACGCCCTCCAATCCCGTATGGTCATGTGATTCCCATACTCAAGGCCCTTCAGGGCCATCCTGAGGCTCCGCGCCTATGGGATAAATACATATCTAAGATACTTATCACAGAACTTGGATTCAAGCCCACCACACATGAGCCTTGTCTCTACTATAAACACGATGACACTGGCATAACTCTCATTCTTCGCCAAGTCGACGACTTCCTTATTGCTAATAAACATGAGAGTGTTTGTGACCACATCAGAGACCTTATTCAACAGCGAATGACTAATCCCTTAAATGTACTGGGTACCATACGTAAATTCAATGGTATCCATGTTCACCAGACAAGAGACTTCAACCATCTCCACTGTGCCAAATATATTGAAAAGATATGCGAACACCACGGATGGCTCCATAGCACATATAAACTCCGTAAACGCCCCACACCAATGAGAGAGGACCCTAAATATTTAGCTCGGCTCCAGTTAACTCAGGGCCCAACTGATCCAACTACCGCGAAACGACTGGAGACGACCATGGGCTTCAACTATCGCCAATGCATTGGGGAACTTATCTATGCTCTCACTATTTGCCGCATTGATATCTCTGTTGCCGTTATTACACTCAGTCAACACTCTCATAACCCCTGTAAAATACACTATGAGGCTGTTCGACACCTGTTTGCGTATCTCCTGGCTACTAAAGATGAAGGCCTCACTTACTGGAGACCGAATCCCCGAGTTGATTTACCACAGGCCCCTCCTCCGCAACCCCTTTCTCCCAAAGCTCAGCTCACCAAATTTTATCAAAGCAACAATCCCCTTCAATTACATGGATCATGTGACACAACTTGGGCATCAGATCGTCTCCAGAGACGATCAATGGGAGGAATCATTATGATGCTTGCTGGAGCTGCTGTTTATTATCGCACCAGACTCCAACCAACTATTGCCCAAAGCTCCACTGAAGCTGAATTCACCAATATGGCAGATGCAGGCAAAGCCGCACTGTATCTTCGATGGATAATGATGGAACTACAGCTTCCCTTACTCACTCCCACTCCAATCTTGGCAGATAACCATGGTGCCGTTAGAATGGCTAATGCCCAGCAACCAACGAGACGTACTCGTCACGTTGAAATGAAACACTTTGTTATCCTTCAATGGACTGATGATGAATTTATTGAGTTTATAAAGACAAAATCAGATGAGAACTACAGTGACTCACTGAGCAAACCCACTGGCCGCACAAAATTCTATTCCCATACTGATATATTTATGGGTAGAATACGGCCTGCCTACTCGATCATCCAAACTGAACAACACACCCCGACTAATACGGATACTGCGGATGTTGGCCTGTCACCCACACAAAGTACTCCAAATAGTGAGGATAAGGCCCCCTCACCAGCAACCGCAACCGTACACCGTACAACGTGCTCCACTTGCAGCAATCTAAATCCTCTCGTAGATTTACTACTAGAACATGAGGATACTGACACAATTGACCACCTCGACTCTTTAGATTCTGCAAGTGCGGGGGGGTGTGAGGTAGTACACACACCACAATCACGAGTAGCTAGTGAATAACCTCACTCTTTATTGTAAACCACGTATTATCATGCAGTAAGGAGCCTAACNTTATTTTTTCGTACGGTAGGTGTTCACAATCGTGAATTATAAACCTCTGTTCTACTGTACTAGGTACCGTACATTACAGTACGAGTAACTCGTACAGGCACATTTTTTGTTTTCATTCTTCTCGCGCTTACGTATCGGTACCTTACTCGTACGTACTCAGAGCCCAGACCCCTGCCGGTGGTACTGTAACGCACTAACGGTTCAGCTCCGAACTGTACTAAAAGCAGGGGTGACTAAAAGTACGTAATTGTACTTCGTAGCAGTTTTACAGTACGAGTACGTACTAGTTAATACTGTTACTGGTACGTACGCGTTCGTTCTGGTACTGTATTTCCTATTTCCCGCCCACGAACTCTACCTAGGTACCGGTATGTCTCTACGCTGTCCAACACTGTACGGTACATACACGATAAAGTCCAAAATAAAAATACCAAATACCCCTGCGACCWTGTCACGATTCGATTGATTCGCACGACAGGTCGTTTTTGAAGTTTTAGTTGCCCTACTCTTCACAGCATTTGAGTTTTGGTGAGATCTGAGATCTGACACATTTCGTCCCGGAAGTTAATGACACTCTCAATTCAGATCATCAATCAATCAACGACCCTAAATCAACCAATCAACCAATCGATTGATTCGCCCSTGCACGCCAGAAGGTTTCCCTCAACTAAAAAGTTTTCAAATCAACCATCCTATCAATGCCATTAGATTCGTATATCTGCGACAATAATTCCTGCAACATAACAGACCAGTGCCACAATAGTAGCGACCCAGAAAGTCTTTTGCGCAACCATAATTTGATATCAACTTGACCAAGAACTTCTGACAGGGCAAATCGTTTTCACCACCAGAAAAGGTGAGTTTGTAGAATAAAGCAACAAATAATTATCGCCGCTCTTGCCGTATTCGTGCATGCACACTCTACTTTCGCTTCTTGTTCGTGAAAAGGAAGAACAAAGAATTCCTTGCGTTCGTGTTTGGCCATCGTATTTATTTTTCTCTCGCAAACGTTTCCCTTCAATGCTCGAGTCGGATCTGAAGGTAGTGGACATGTCACGTTTGTTCTTCAGATTGCATCAGGACAAGAGTATGAGAGTCGATTTCGATGCACAGTTCATGAATCTTTTTATCCGTGCGACGCACGTACGCATCGATATCTTAGAATTCGATGTTGTTCATGTGCCGTCTGTAATTCGTTCTCCTTTTTTGTCAGTAAAAAACAAAATCCTAACGCACCTGAAAATGTACGTGGCGGACATCGGAACTCTCATTGCCGCAGCAGTAGTAATTTACGAAGCCGTCACGGCTTTGCATACAAGAAAAAGCATTGCTTTCTCGCTCTCACGACACAAACCTACTCACCTTCTCMAGTATTCGAAATTAAAACCTCTTCGTACCCSTACCTGGTACTGTTATCTCATCCCAACAAGAAGACGGAAGAATCATCTTACTACTGTAGTACGCTAGTCGTACTTTCTTTCGAAGTAAAACGGACCTGTGTCGTTACCGAATCTCTGCCCGTATTGAAAGCAGTTGATAAGAAGGGCAAAACACGATACAAGTCGTGGATTTGTTGACAAAAAGCAAAACTACATCAAGTCATAACTATGGAAGGAAGGATAATGACTACATCCATGGTCTCACGAACGCGTGGACGATCCCCATCTCCTTATCGCCAGAGCAATTGTGATAGAAAGACTGATGACGTGGACGTGYTAGAGAAATCTCTCCAATCATCACATGTAATTGGTGTTGATCGGCCGCGCTCCGAAGATGAGATAGCATCGTTGGTTTTCTTGGGAAGTGACGACACTTCTTCCGACGACAGCTCTTTCAGTGGATATGCGTTCGAGACAACGAGCGGAAGAAGGAGAAGACTCCGAAAGGACCGAAACAACGAAAACATCACGAATGACATTGAAAGTTACACAAATGCGAAAACTCAGAAAGAATGCGAAGTAGGGAAATACATGGCTGCTCGAGAGATGACACCATTTCAAGAACGAATGAACGCCTTGACTGTTCTACCAAGCACCTATTACTGTATTATGTTTTTTCTCTCTGGGTCGTGGCTCAGTAAATCATTTATCGAAGAGCATGTTAATGGATTGATTGATTATACCAAATTTGACGTTTCCCAATGCATCCATTCTACCTGGTTTCCAAACTTGCACGCATTACCTCCTGCGGCTCCTGTGGCAGCAGCAGTGGGCATTCTCTGCCATGCTCCCTTTTCGATGATCTACCATTGGAGATACGCCCACCGTCTTCCTCCAGGTTTRCCAAGAACAACTCATTGGAGCCGCCGAATGGACCAAGCGATGATTCATTTCTGTTGTGCTTGTCTTTCATATGCTTCAAGTGGACGATTTGATTTCTTCTTTGTGAATGCTCTCTTCAACGCGGAATGCATGTATCTCCTGTTCTTGGAAAAAGTGGTGCCAAAACGAAACCAAAAACGGATTGCAATGTCGATTTTGTTGTTTGCGATTCCAATTCTGCACAAAGGAGATTTTGCATCTTTCTCGAAACTTATTGTCATTTTCGCACTTGCGGGGTGGCTTTTCGGTGGATATCCGATTGGCGGGTGGTCCCACGCAGCCTTCCACATAGTTTTGGCATTTGTCCCTCCGGTCATGTTTGCGTACGCGCTGAATTTGCCGGCTAGTCTACCGCAGCTCGATGTGGCTGCCCGCTGCGCGATAATGTCGAATGACTCTTTGGTGTAGTCATATGGTATGACTGATACACATMACTTTGCTACACACATTGGATAGTCCTTTTTTGCTTGGTATTACGGTTGCAATCCAGTCTTCCACTCAATTGTTAATTCGTGCTAACGGCACAATAATAATTAAGAATAAAAGTTAGATATTGCTTCGAAAGGCAAAGCATTACGTAGTAGTAGAATGTGACAATGACTTTCGTAAACCCACGTCTGTTTCAAAACTGTTAGGTATGTTATGATGCAAGCTCACTGATGTGAGTAGTGATCAGTCTTCAGTACCGCGAAGACCTTCGTCCTCGAGACCTCTGGTTGTCCAAACTTTAGTTGTTGCTGTCGCTGTCGCCATCGCCATCATCGTCAAGATTCTTGATCAAAAGATCTGAAAACGTCACTTTAAATCCTGCTGATTCGGGGGCGGCGCACATCATACCAACCTTGAGTCTCGGCCTGTCCGAGAAGTATCCCTGTCGGATACGAGTCCAATTCTCGTTATCCAAAGAATAGAAACACTCAATCACTTCTTCTTTTCTCTTCACCCATACGTGAAAGTGATCAACCTTAGTCTGTGACAAACGATGAGTTGACCAGTCAGACACACCTCGCGTAAAGCAGCAGCTTACGTGGGGCTGATCGCGATAACAGCAGATTCCTAGTTTAATCCAATTTTCCGAGTCTATGCGTATCATCATTCCCGCCTGATCGTACAATTCTTTCAATTTCACTTTTAACGACAGTCTTGCCTCAAAATTGTTCTCGGCAATCATCCAATAAAAAGGACCATCATCTTTGTTATAACCATGCATTGTTCCTCTCCAAAAATCCGTTTCCATTGGACAAGTCACTTTAATGCCATCTTCTTTCCGCTGGTAGTGGGAAACGCCAAAAAAGAAAAACAACATTTCGATCAGAGCTGGCTCAAAAGGGCGAATGGTAGAAAATGTGCCATTTACAAATCAAATTCATGAAAGAAGAGATAATCACTTATGCAAAACTTTGCTCCAAGTCACAGAATGTTTCTCTCGAATATTCGCAGAATACCATTCTCAAAACACACCTTCCATTTCTCTGGCTCGTTCGTCCACCGCATGGTCCTCTGTTCAACGTTCATGGTAACAAATAGTTGTGCCGTCCTGAGAAGAAGACAAGTATGTTTTCTATTGTGATAGTATGAGTGAGGGCAATCTTTAATTCTATCCGATTGTCGATGTATTTGTATTGTTTTTATCCAGGAGTAATAATCAAAGTAGATMTATGAAGTGTTTACATGAAGCAGATTTTTGGAACAGCAATTTCTTCTTGCTTCAAACCCGCCGGTCTTTCCCAATCCCTTGAATGTAGTACCGTACGTACAGTACGAACTACAGAACTACTTCTGTAATACGAAGTACTGTACTTATGTTACAGTATGTTACGTACGGTTCAAATTCAAAATACTTTAAAGTACTTCTACTAAAGTACAGTACTGTACTTCTTAATATCGTATTTCTGGTGATATGGTCATCGTAATTGAGACGTTGGGTTTAATATCTCTAATAAATATTTTGATGGTCATTKATTCTTTGTTATGACCATCTCTGCGCTCTTTGCATTACGAGTAAATTACGTTCACGCATACAGAATGACTCCTTAGTTACAGTACTTCTGAGGAGGAATCCGCACCGTAAAAAGTTGTACTCGACGCACAGGTAAAAAAATTGAAGTAACGAGGAACAAAATTGACGGACGACCAAGAGGAATCTCGTTGACCACCTTTTGGAATCATTCTCAAATCCTTTGAAGAAAGCGGAACCAAAAAAGCCTGGGGGCTTGCTCTTCTCAAGYATTTACTTCCTTTGTTTCTTTCAGAATCCAATCCAACCAAGAAAAATGTCTGACGACTCCCAATCCTACGAAGACGAGAGCAACCGTCCGGATGAAAACGAAGACGAGGGCGATGACGACGATAGCGAGGACTATCCGGAACCAAGGACCGGCATGCACTGGCTCTCGGAACCCGAGGAGTGGTCCCAGCACAGAACAACTGTTGAAATGAGGGCTCCTTCCGGCACGGACTTTTGGCGCATGACGGGAACGGACGTGTGCGTGGACAATGCTCCCTTTTACTTTCTGGAAATCGAGGGCGACTTTGAAGTGCGTTGCAGGGTGAAAGCCAACTACGAAAGCGCGGATGACCAAGCCGGAATCATGGTTCGAGAGGACGAAGACAACTGGGTGAAGTTCGGTATCCAGCTGATCGATGATGTTCCACACATGTGCGCGACCATTACCCACGACTATTCGGACATGTCAATGCACCCGCTCCCGGTAAGGATAGCGAAAGAACTGCAGAATGAGCTGGAGAGTTTGCAGACTACACGAATGATTCAATCACCTTCTTTCAACTCACTCATTTCGCTTGTTTTGATGATCCAATGCTTTCCTCCTGAAAAATATCCTTYGGGTGTTCCGATGGAAATAAATCCATTTGCTCGTCTTGAAACGATGACGATTTACATTTCATTAATTCTTATTGTCTCTGGCTACACAAAAACATATAAATCATGAAGCACTTGGCCGAGTATATGTGGGTCCATGCCAAAAAGATCGGAGACGGTTTGGAGGTTTATATTTCTGAAGACAGCCACGATTGGATGCAAATTCGACAGGGCGATATCAACCCCGATGCCATTCATCAAATTGGTCTTTATGCAGCTTCACCCTGTTCAGAGGAGGGTTTACTTGCAAAGTTCGAGGACTTTATGGTAAAAGGCGAAAACGACGGATGAACGCAATTAACTTGGAAAAAAAGTATCCATGAAACCGGTCAGTACTCTTCGACGCTCTTTGCAGATCACATTTTAAATACTATAACAAATACAGTATATCATGACTCATTCAATGCGCAGGATTCCCTATCTAGAGAACGCGCACGTGCCATTCGCGATTTTTTGTCATCACTGCTTTAAAGACCGATAGCCAAAAGAACACAGAAAACTTTTTTGTAACTGATATCATCATGGTGCAGTATCCCGCCTATTCCACAACCGCTATCTATGTGTTCTTGTTCTCGCTCGTTACGTTTTTGGTCGAAAAAAGGTACCATTTCGCCTATTACGAGATGAAAGATGCAAAGGAACCACACGGTTAGCTTTCAACCAGAGAACTAGAAAGGACATCCCCGCCATTGTTACTTTTACATCACTTCTGGATTTTGGAAAACATCGAAAGTACAGTACATAAAAATCTGTTTTGACTCGATCGACCCTCGTATCCAAACTGCTTAAACAGTTACTCTCAATCGAATCACTCGACTACGAAGTGGGTTTCAGAACCGAGCGCGCGTGCATCAACGAATGGCTCTTTTTTGAAGCGGAAACAAGAAGCTTCAAACTTCAGATTTTGAGTTCCCGACAAGGCTGAAATCTTGCTCACGCCGATCTGGCTCGATGCGACGTCGAACGATCCTTTTCCATCTTGCTTCTCGTTTCCCCCCACGTTACCACYTAGCTTTCCTCTTGTCAGCGTTGCTACAACATTCGCTTCCGCACTCTTGGAATCATTGAATTATGGCGGAATGGTACGAAGAAAACGAAGACGAAGCCGCTTCTTACTTCAGTGACGATTCGTCCACTGAAGAAGAGCTGCTTCGCGTAGCAGAAAAGCTCGAGACGATGCACAAGGAAAAAGAGCGAAACAAGAAAGAAGCAAAGAAAGACGAGGCCATGATCCGAGATATCGACGACCGCGAGGCATCTCAATGGTCGGTTTCTGAACCTCGTCGTCTCTGCCGTTCCCAGTCGATCACGCGGCCGGATCAATCGCCGGAGTCCGATTCTTTGTCCTTTCCCGCAAACACCGAGTCCCATTTGCACAAGGAAAGTCCAGCTGCCAGCAGCCCAACCAATGCAAGCATTCACGGCTCGGATAGTGACACGCGCGTCGGAACGAAAAGTACGGTCGACCCCGATCGAAACGGCGGTGGGGGCGATGGAAAGCGATCGCTGGCCTCGCGAAGCGATTGTAACGACGGGAAMAGCAGTAGATGGCAATTTCAAGCATTGCGGCCCCCGCAATCCGGTCGGAAAAGCAGCCATGAACTGGTGGTTTCGAACCCAGGACCTTGTAATGGTGCATCGCGAAGCKATAGGTTTGTCCGCAGGGGTGAATCGGGAACGAAGAAGGACGAGCAAGATATGCTGGGGAAACGGCAAGAATATGCTTTGCCTCATCCATCTCGACAGCAACAATACGAGAGCATCCATGAGACCAACACGAACGGCAATGGCGATGACGAAAAATCCATCGCTAGGAATCATCGTCGGGCTCATGACGATGAACCGACGAAGAAGGAGGGTATCGTGGGTCTCACCCGGAAAGAGACAAACGATTCTACGGATAGCAGTAGCAGTAATAGCAGCAGTAGCAGTAGCAATAACAGCCGCAATGGTGAATGTGAGACTGATCTCAGCGACGACGATTCTACTTCAATTTCCTCGACTTTGATTTCCATCGACAAGGCATCTCTGATAGTAGGGAAAGTTACGACACAAACAAAAAAGATAGCGAACATGGATGTTGACACCCGTCGTTCGAAACATTCGTCGGAATCGGAAACCCCGTCTACAACTTCTACCATGTCTTCCTCGTCTCCCCCTTGGTCTCAGAACAGTTTTGGAGCCACACATACTTCGAATGGAGCTGTTCCGAACGATCCTAACTACGAGAGAAAGACGACTGCCAAAAAATTCAAATCTGATAGGGGAGTTACGAATCCTTTGGGAAGGAGTACCCTATTGCAAAGATCCACACCTACTCTTTTGCGAAATCCATACCTCCCTAATGCCATTGCAGATCCAAACAAAACACGAGAATCTTTGTCATTGGAGAAGATGGGGAATAATAATCAACAAAGTCAATCGATATTGAAAAAAAGGAAGGAGTTAAAGAGATTCGACGATGGTCATTGCGATGGCCTCCCTATTGATATTACCATCAGCGATCAGAAAGATGAAGGAGAACAATCGAAACCGCTCACTTCAAAAGGGGCCGAATCGTCGGCCTCGATGGAGCAGAAGACTCGGCACTCCGTTCCAAATGCTGAAATGATGAAGGTATTCGAAGGTTTCGAAGCCAAGGGCGATACCAACGATAGCTGCGAGACAGTTGTCGTCACCGATGATCATCGAGACGAGCCCGAAGAACCAGAGGTGTCGCATGTCCTCTATGCTCCACCCGTTTCTAGAGACGGCCGGCACACAGTTCCAAACGTACAGAAATTCGATTGTCGCAGCCAGCCCCTCCATTCCAGAAAAACCATCCCAGTCCGAACCTCCTATCGTTTCTTCACGCCTCCGATTGCCAAATCAATGTGGCCAAAGTTTGATCGATTCAATCATTTTCAGTCCGCAATGCTCGATGTATTGTCCAATTCCGACGACAGCGTAGTCGTGTCCGCACCAACGGGAGCCGGGAAGAGCACGATTTTTGAAATGGCGGTGGCACGGTTTCTAGCCATGGACCTCGAAGCCCAGGAGCAGCAGGTGCACAGCAATGGATCCAGCTCGAATCCACCTGTTCGGTCGCGATCGCAAGAAATCTCGAAAGCGCGAAAGATCGTTTACATCGCTCCGAGCAAAGCCCTTTGCCAGGAACGATACGAAGATTGGTCGCGAAAGCTTCAACAGATGAATTTAGGGCTGGAGGTGGCTTTGATCACGGGGCAAGATGCAGACAACGAGCACGCCAACAATGCGTTAGCTGACTTAATCGGCGGTCACCTCATCGTGACGACGCCCGAAAAGTGGGATTCGATGACCCGGCGGTGGAACGAAAAGTTCTTTCTCTTTGCTTCCGTGAAGCTTCTTCTGCTGGACGAAGTGCATCTTCTCGGTGACGAAAACCGAGGATGGTGTCTGGAGTCTGTTATAACCCGGATGAAAACCATTCACCGCGCTGCCACAGTGCTCCACACCGCCCCCCAAGTGATCCGTACCTCCAGCTACCCCGAAACGAACCCAAACGCAATCAAATCAAGCTTTCGAATGGTGGCCGTATCAGCAACCCTCCCAAACATCGCGGATGTTGCAGATTTCTTGCAAGCTAGAGAAGCATACACCTTCGATGACAGCTATCGGCCAGTTTCTCTCACCAAGCACGTGAACGCAATGGGAAGAGTAGGGAAGAACGAATACAGGTTCTGGAACACTCTTATCGACCACGTTCCTGAAATCATACGAAGATTTTCTCACGGAAAGCAATCCCTGATTTTTTGTCACTCCAAAAACGAAACCGAACGACTAACGGAGTTACTCATTCAAAAAAAGCTTGGGAACGAAGCTAATGTAGTGGMCGGTCGACGTTGGAGTGAACCGGTCGGCAGAATGCTTGCCCATGGCATTGCATTTCACCATGCAGGATTGAGCAAGACCGAGCGCGAGAGAATTGAAGAGGCGTTCCTCAACAAAACTATCAAGTGCCTGACCGCTACATCCACGCTCGCTGTAGGAGTAAATCTTCCTGGTATGTTGCGTCGGAATGCTTGCTAACCTTGATTCTTTGATATCCCATATAATCCATTACCTAACTTCTGTCTTGCTCGTCGTCAGCTCATTTGGTGGTGGTTGTGGGAACAAAGGCATATCGTAGAACCAAAATAGGCAAGGGGTCGAAGGCCGGCTACGAAGATATTGAAGTTAGTACACTGCTACAAATGGTTGGACGCGCAGGTCGGCCRGGATTGGATTCCACAGGCGTTGCAGTTATTTTGACGGATGTCGATTCGAAGAAAAAGATTGAAAACATCATGCAGGCAGGAATTGGGCCGGCTAAATCAAAACTTGTCCCAAGATTACCCGAGGTGATAAACTCGGAAGTATCGCAACGAGTCATCACCTCGAAAGAGGGGGCGATGCGTTGGTTACAAACAACATTTCTTTTCTCTTGTATGAAACACGACAGAGATGCTGTTTCTTCTGCTCAAAACTTGACCAACGAAACCTTGGTGTGTCTGCGAGAGATTGGCTTGGTAGAGGACGAAAAGACGGGTTTAAAACCCCAGGCAGGATCTTTCATAATGAACAAACGCCTTATTTCTTTTGAGGACATGAAAGCAATATTTGCGTTCCCATTTGATGTGACCCAGTGTCAAGTGCTCAAGTCCATATCAAAGCTGAAAAGCCTCCAAAGTCACGTGAGGAACGACCAAAAGAGGCAGCTCAAAGAGTTTCACAAAACTGAACTCATGAAATACAAGTTACCAGGGCGGTTGTCAGAATTCAGAGTCAAGGACGAAAGTGAAAAGGCTTTCATTCTTCTTCAGAGCTACGTATCACGACATCGATTCGCAAACAAATTGCTAGATGAGGAGCAAATTACAGTTCGCAACGAGGCCATCAAATTTTTGGAAGCGGCACAAGAATACAGTCTGAAAGCATCGAAGCACGGAAAGGTAGCATTTGAATGTCACAGACTCCAAAGATCGCTTGTCACATGCCTTTGGGGTGAATCTTCGGGCGTGTTCAACCAGTTCAGCTGGATAGGTTCTTCCGCAACCGGTTCAAATACGCTAGCATTTGGTGGGATAAAAACTTTTCAAGATGCGTTCGATTCTTCGGAACAAAAGCTGAACGATCTTTTCTCGAAAGCCAAGATCTTGTGGTTGCCAGAAAATCCTGGCCGCGTAGTGAAGCATACAGTCAATGATTTATGTCGTCGAAGGCTCAGGTTATCTGCAAAGATTGAGTACACCAGGAACTCAAACTTACCAACATATCTACGTTGTACTTTGAAGTACAACGACCCAACTCTGACTATAACAAGAAATGAAGGAGGATTGCAGGACTTCAAGTTTAGTCTCATGGCATACACAGATAATTCAAAGCAGTCGTGCTTAATATTTGAAGATGATGTTTACTCTCCATCATCCTTATCTGTGCCGTTGCCTTCGTATACGTTTAAAAAAATTTACGTTCATTTGATGGGTACATGGATAGGATTTGATGAAACTCAAATCATTCATGCAAGAAAAGGCTGTATGAATGCTGCAAAGGCAGATAATTCCGCGGCGCGGCGTCCCCAGATCGAGAACGAAGAAGACACTACGACTACTAAGCGCAAGATTCGTCAAACAGAGAGATTGATGTACCCGAATCCGCAGCCCCAAAAAAGACAAGATGAAACAACAAAGAAATCATCTAAAGAACCATCTCCAATAACACCTCCGAATGACTATCTAAGATCTATACCTAACCAGCAGTCTTTGCAAGAGTTTTGGAAGGAATCGAACAGGAATGGCCAAGCCGTTCATCAATCTCGGGCAGCTGACAATATAGTTCTGTCAAACCGACAAAAATCTGACGAAACAACTATCTCTGTAAATATAACTCCAACAATGCCCTTTCATAYGAAATATGAATCGCTTCACGAAAAGGGTGCATACGAGTTGAGTGAAAGAGAAATTCATGGTCATTCTGAAGCRAACTTCGCTAATCAAAGGCTTGACACTCTCACAACAACACACGCTGAGTCGGATTTTTTTTATCCAAGAAAGTCTCACAGATACAATTTGCCATTTCGACATATGCTCATGGAAGAYGGAATGCAAAAATCCCAAGCTACTGCAACTGCAGAAACTGTAGAAATGGACGAGTCGGTGCGGATGAAGTCTTCTTTGCACAGAGATTGCAGAGGAGTCCAAAGCATGATGACTTGCGAAGAGATTACGAATGCTGATCAGATTGGAGCAAACATAATGTCGACAAGTGGAAGGCGAGGCAATCTGGCGAAGACTGGCTGGAACCAGGCTCGGAAAAAGCAGCATAGAGCTCAAAAGAGGGCATTTGTAGAGAAGAAGATGAATCCATTCAGCTTTTTTGCACATGATCCAAACGACTCTGAGAGGCATCTTGAGCAGCTTTCTCATCAAAATAGCATCATCCCAACTCGAGTTCGGGCCAAATTGAAGCAATCCTCTATCATCTCTAACAGGAAAAGAAATCACAATTTTTTGTCCCATCAAGACCGCCGTACTCGGACAGCACGCAATCAGCTTTCTACGCAAAACCCAGAACAGGTTTTACGAGAAAAAGCATTTGAGCAACAAAATGGACACCAAAGAAGGATGTCACAAAGGGAACAAGATCGAAACTACAGTCCTCCCCATCACTATTACCAAGCAAATGTTCGTCCTCCTTCTCTTCCTCCGGTGAACGCCCGGCAGGAAAACGTAGAACGATATCGAGATCAGATCCATAGGTTCAACAATCGGTCCCCTACTTATGAACTCCGAAATGTTAGCCAATTCTCTCAGCCACTGGTTTCTTGTGGAAACCAATACATTTCGGTAGCAACAGAAGCTCCTGAATTTGATCCAACTGTTCAATATGATTCTTTCGTTTCCAATATATTCGAGAAACCACATGAGCTACTAATGCGACCTGCAGAAAATGGCCGATACCTTCCTTTGGATTCAGTTCGAGGTACATACGATCATGTTGGGAATAATTCGCAGCTCAACTTTCCTGATGAAAGAAACCGGTGTCAATTGCAAGACGCTTATCCACCCGTTGACCATGAAAGCAACTTCCACGATGCATTTTTCTAGCTAAGTTGTGGAACACGAAATTTAAGAGGAAGAAATCCGATCTAGATTCAGGAAATCCCGGTTCGAAATCGATCCTAATTCGTCTAGATACAAGATATTCCATTGCTCTATGGATTTAGTTCGTTGAAAACTGTTTTTGTCTATTAGATCAAAGTTAGTTTTCTAGATCGAGTTCAATGAGGAGAACTCGCTCACCGCCATAGTTTTACTGTACAATCACGAGAGCAGCTTAGTAGGCTATTCTTCAAAAATTTCAAATCGCAAATCGAATCGTGGTGCCCTTGTGGCATCGAGCGGGTGCCCTGAAACAATTTCCTTGGGACTCTGGAAGAATCCACCTCGCCCAATGCAGGCGCTGGAGCTTGATGGCACAACATCAATCGAGAATTATTATTATAATCGATTCGTTCGAAGGTTGGGCGCGGTTGTAACGGATCAAGACCGTTTGTAACGTGGCATTTTGAAGGCATTGAAAAATCCCAGAATCGAATGCGACGGTCAYTCCCACCGGTAATCAAAAAGCTCCTATCACTATTCCCAGTGCTGCCAACCATACAATTCACTGATTCAAAGGATGTTTTGATAGCATTGGATAGTCTTCCCAGCCCTAAACCTTGCGCTTGGACAAATTTCCGGCGCACTGAAGTAGATAATGGCACATCAGTTAGGGTTGGAATATCATCGATTCTTAACGAAGGACTGCGACTTTTATACTCTATCGTTCGGAAGCATTCGCTACAGTGTCCAGTTGTTGCATCAAACATTGCACACTCGTTGGGTCCAGACGCAACAAATATGTATGGTTTTGAATCGACATTCACTGATCTTTTGCTGACCCAAGACTGAGGAGGAGGTACGTATGAGGTAGCGAGTCGATTGATGGGAGCGGAACGGCTGTGATGCCACAATTTCATAACTTGTTGGAATCGTAGGTCCCACAAYGAAATGTATCCCCTATTTGTTCCCACCACAACCCAGTTTCGATCACTTCCAACTGCCATGYTTGTGATGTAACCAGTATCTTGAAAGTTTTTGAGGCAGAATGGTTCCTTCGCACTTCTCAGGTCCCACGAGTGTATATGCCCCTTTTGCGTTGCGTATGTCAAGAGTGACGATCCTTGGCTGTTGAACTGATTCACGGTAAGTACTTCTCCCTCCAAAGGATGGATCTGTTTAATATCTGTAGAACCAGCCACTCGTCGTGCGTCCCTTTTGGCGTCTATTAGATTTGTCGAAGACGAAGACACTAGGTCTACTCGCCACACACGAATAGATCCATCGCTGCCTGCAGAAGCGGCAGAATGACTTCCTTCAAGAATGATCAAATCATTGACTCGCGATGGGCCCCTGCCACAATCATGGTCTCCCAAAGTGTAGGTTGAACTACTTTCGAGCACGCCGTTGCTTGCTTCGGCCTTCTCTGACTCCCATATCCGGCAAGTGCCGTCGTGGCTACCGGAAATGAAAAACCTCTGATCGTTCGAGACGGCGAGACTGATGACTGGTGCGGTGTGACCAAACCCTGCGGCTTTCCTCGACGTGGCAACTACGTTATCTATTTTCGGCTTCCACGCTTGAGAATCACGTGGATCGCCGGCTTCCCTTGCGTAGTGCCGAGGGGGCTGTACTAGTTTCTGGACCGGAGGCCTTTCCTCGCCCAATCTCGGTGGAAGGGGCGGAACGTCTAGCGCATTCAACTTCGTCAGCAGCAGAGACGTATCGGTAAGAACAGGATCCAAGCACGTTTCCGAACCCCATTCTCCCCTACAAGCTGCCTCTATGCTTTTGGATCTGTCCGAATTCAAGAGCTCGACAGCTCGATCGCCCGTCATGCCATCGTATTTCAAACTGGCTGCCGCCGCTTGGTCCATAATAGAGAGACCGTAGACCTGGCCCAGCGCAGACACGGACCGGATCGCAGCTGTTTCGCGAACGCTGTCTCGGTGGTCGTGCCTGCATTCCAGCAGGATGCCATACCATTGCGGGAGTKTTGCCGGGGGCGACCCCAGGATGTCTTGGCGTGGAAAATGAAGTTGCTGTGCGAGCTTGAGCGAGCCTTCGATGGCATTTTTCATGTCCTGTGTTGGGTTGTCGCTGTCMGAGCCCATCTTCGCGGCATAATTTCTGCTCCTTGCGAGCATTTGCATATACGCACTCGATCGGAGGGCATCGTCGTCGGAAAGTTCTTCCTGTTGGGCAGGCGTTCCCTTCCCCGCTTTATCTGCTGTTTTTACAGCTGTTTTTTCTCGGGGCGTGTCTTCGGCAACACCATCATTGATCTGGAGAGCGATTGTTGTCCACTGACCGGCCATGGGAGACGATTCCATGGCGGCAATGAGCCTGTTGAGCTCKTTCTCGAATCTCGCGCGAGTCCACGCCACGGAGAGGCATCGCTCGAGGCCAATCGGTGTCAGCAAATGCTCCGTGGACGGCTGGAATCGTAGATACGGACGAATGAGTGGAAGAACGAAAACCTCGGCGTCCAGGGACCCAACAAGCTTGCAGAGCGCATTGATCGTAACAATGATATTGAACCGAATGTAGGAAGACGGATGCAGCAAGAGCGTCCCGTATTTTTGGAGCAAGCTGGTAGAAGAAACGCAGGTTAGAAGAAACAATTCGAATCCAGAGCACCGATATGGGAGCCAAACAAGTGGAACAATGCCGGTGCCCCGGAACGAACGAACGCAGGGATCGAAACACGCCCGTGTCAAAAACTTACCCCGGCGATGYCTCGGTTCCGTGTGCGGCCGGTCGTCCGAGAAATACCCCACGGGAGAGMAGCCCCATCACGAGCAGCTCCGACAGGCAGAGCARAGCCCGTCCAATCACCACTTCCTCGCTGTCCACGAGTGCGGTTTCGAGAATGGGCAAGACAAAATGTTCCGTTGCCGCTCTTCCGATAAAGTGACAGACGGCCGGGAGGTGATCAAATAAGGCGGCTCGAAGCTGCCAGTCCTTTCGGTCGTTCAGAAAGGATAGTATCTGGGGCAGAATGAAGGCCATGACGCCGTCCAAACCAAAAAARTTGCATAGTCGGGCCATGTCCGCGAGCAACGCCCGTTTCGCCGGTGACGAATGCTCCGACATATCGGTGGTGATGTGGATCACCCAGCGAGACACGGTTTCGTGGAGGGCGGCAAGGTCGCTGTTGTACGTGCTACGGATGAGGGTTCTCGTGGCTCCCTTCATATCGGAACCAACGGTTTCGGAAGACTCGGCTTTCCGCAGTGACTTGGAGTTTTCCTTCTTGTTGGAGGAGGCGGACTCGCCGAGCAGCTTTGCCACGTCGTCCCCAAACACGTTACTCGAGGGCGGACCGTCGTTTTGGCTCGGAATTCCAGCGCTTGTGCCCCCTGCCTCCCCTCCGACGGCTTCGTACAGCCGGACGGCGTGCGAAATGTCCAGAAACCGGTGTGCGGTCTCTGCCAGCACGGCCACGCTGCGGGCAAACGCCAGGCGCACCACCAGTGAAGGATCCGTGACCAGGTGGGCCACCCGTTTGAASACGTACTGGGGAAAGACCTTCGAATCGGAGGGCGGAAAGCTCTCCACGATGCTCATGGTGGACGCCAGGACCTCGATCGCCGAAGCGCGAACCAGTGGGTCCTGGTCCTGCAGCAAGGACACCGCGACCGGGACGATCCGTTGGAGCCTGGCCTCGTCCGTAGAATACCCRCCGATGCGCTTCATGAGCTGGAGTGCCACCAATTTGCTTGCGGGGCGCTGAACGTGYCGGATGGTGGACAACACCAGCTGCAGATATATGAGCAGAGAGCTTTCGGAGAGCTGCGATYGGTTGATCTTGCTTCGATTCGGGTGTTTCTCGCCCTCCTTCCCCGCGGTAGTTCCGGATTGGTGCTTCCTTGCTGCTGCGTCCTCCGAAGCCATGGATAGGACCTCATCCTCGTCAATGGCGAGAGCTCCCAGCTTTTCTAGCAGGGCTTCTGTCTCGGCAAAGAGGGCGTCGTGTTCGGATTCTTTCTTTTCCTCCGTCATCGCTACGGACGAGGCATTGATCTGGCCTGGCGCTTCGTTCGGACCCGATTCGTTTGCAGTTGTKTCGGTTTCTGGGCTTTCCTTGGTCTTGTTGTTCCTCATGGCCACCGCTGTTCTTCCCAGYACCCGGTCAAAGTATTCCTGGCCCTCCCGATCGCTAACGCCCATCGTCTCGTGCAAGATTTCCGAATAGCAAGCGGCTGCCTTTGCAAGCCTGGCATCGGGCGTCACCACCGCGGCTTCCGCGTCCAATTCTGGGTTTGTTTGCGAGCGCGTGGTCGCGGTCACTTCTCTCATCAGCCGCGCCAGTGTTTCAAAGGAAGTCGGCAAGAGCCCCGATGCCTCGAGGCGCTTCAGGTACTCTCCGGCCGACAACCGTTGCGACGGATCCAGGGAGAGCATGTTTTTGCAGGCCGCCCGGAGGGCGGAAAACTCGATCTTGTTGAGCTTTTGCTGCAGCGTCGGTGTGTATGTTTTTCGCTGTCGGTATTCCATCAGGTCCCCCAGATCAAACGCCCGTTCTCCGTTCAGAAAGGTTTCCATGATGACGCACCCAGCTGAAAATATGTCCATCGCGGGAGTAAGCTTCTGGGTGGTGGCGTTTGGTCCTATCGGTACCGCTCCCGGGGATTCTGTTCCGTCGCCCTTTTTGCTCGCATTGGTTCCGGGTGTGTAGAAGCGTTCCGGGGCGAGATAGCACCGCTTTTCCCTTGTCGTCGCGGAGGTGTCGGTTGGACTATGCGTTGCGCTCGTGCCGGAATCCGTTGGCGACGATGAGGAGGTACCGGGCGGTTGTGTTTGCTGGGAACCCCCACCCTGTATCGATCCCTGGAAGCCCCCGTTGTTGTCACCGGCATTGCCCGCGGCGGAAGCATTGGTCTGCGCTGATCCCGTCTGGCGCAGCTGGAAGTAATACAGGTATTCGGAGGGATCATCGTCGGGAAGCGCCGTGCGTCCCTTGTAGCTCGCCGAAAAGTCCAGGAGCACGACCCAGTTCCAGCTAGAGAGACCAACGTTCTCCGTGGTCAAGAATCCGTGAACAATGGGCGATTTCGTTGCCGCCGGTGCCCCGGTGGGTTCGTTGCTCCCGCGGGCGTTGCCGTCCTCGTTGCCCTCGATGGAGGGTSGTGCGGAGGACGCAGCACTGCCGCTGCTGCCGCCGCTGTGGAGATGGTCCAGTGCCTGTAGCAACTGGTAGACGATCCACAACTTTTCCACGTGTGTCAGAAACGGCCGCGAAGCCAGCCGGTCCGACAGGGTCGTGTAAAAGTAGGGCCGCAACAGGAGAGCCGGTCGAACCGCAACGCTGGCGTTGTAGTTAGTCCGAACGACTTCCGGGCCGGCCTTCCAGTACAAAAAGGGAGCCGCGTGGGGGTTCCCCTCGAGCGCTCGATAGAAGAAAGAGAGCTCTCTCTTCTGGGCGTGCAAGGCCGCCTCCTTGGCGTTCGTGGATCCGCCGGCTCCGGCTTCTGCCGCGGCGTTCGTCTTGCGTGCAGAGGGATTCGCGGTTTTGGTTCTGCTCGCCTCGGTGTGGGCGGTGCTCCCGCTGCCGACGCTGCTTGATTCGGCGCCCGTTTTCGTCTCGTTGGGCGGGCCGTCTTTCTGGTCGTTGTCCGTGGTTGCGGTCTCGTTGTCTTTGTCTTTGTCTTTGTTGCCGCTGCTGATCTCTTTCTCGTTGTTGTTGTTGTTGTTGTTGCTGCTGCCGCTGCCGCTGCTGCTGTTGTCGCTGCTGTGGTTGTCGCTGCCGTTCTCGCCCTCGTCGTCCCCGGGATCAAAGCTGGCCCACATGAGCTTGGCCACCAGCAGGCTTCCGTTCGTCTTGTGGCGGAGCCGAAAGGTCCGCATCATCCGCCCCGATCCGGGAAAGAGGTAGCCGTCGACGCCGTACTGCTCCGCGATCGACGGCTCGCAGGACTCGAGGATTTCCCCGGCAAAGCGGAGGCCGCCGTCGTCGTCGTCTCCGCTCGTGGCCGGTCCCGCTAGCAGGGACCGGTTGTGGTAGTAGGTGGCGGACGTGCTGGAGTGGCGGGCTCCCATGGTGGCATTTGCCTCGTTTTGCGGAGCGAGACAGAAAGAGAGTGGGTTGCCGCGTGCCTTTCGAAGAGCGACTGTTCTTGCCTGCTTGCTTCYTTGCTTGCTTGCTTGCTTCGAAASAAAACGTTATTCCAGTGCTCCCTGCGTTCTCCAGGCCACAGCCAAGAATCCACAATAGGTACGGTTTGCGSTCCAAGAGTCCACGGCGTCAAGTCCCGGACAGATCCAGTCTCCTCGACGCAAGACTAAACGTTTGGTTTCGATTCGATTCGATTCGATTCGGTTTGGTTTGGTTCCGAATCTCGTTCGATGCGATGCGATGCAATGCAATGCAATGCGGTTGATCTGATTCTCTCGTTTCGTGTTGTTTTCGATATCCAGCCCGATTCGGATGCTACGGATGCTTTCGATGCCAGAGTACAGGGCTCTGTTCGGGGGAGGCAAGGCAGTCCTTCACGGAATACAGTGATCAAGTCGTTCGAGTTCAAAAACTACTCGTACGAGTACGAGTACGAGAACTCCTACTGAACGGGACGAGAAGTGAACGTGGAACGGAACAGAACTACTAATGGAAGCAGTACGAGTACTCGTACAATGTTGGAGTGTACCGTACCCTACTACGAAGTACGGTACTCGTACTAGTATCCGTTTTCTACCGGTACCATCGTAAGTACGTTAGAGTTAAAGTTATTTCCAACAAATTCTTGGATGGAGTCAAAAAAAGAAAAAAGCTAATTCATTCCTTGCGGAACGGCACACATCTCCTCCTTTCGTTCCCTCCCCTTTTTCAATTTCGACCTTCCCCCATCAAAACCCGAAACAGTGATGGATGTTTTCTTTCGAGAGAAAGAAGATTCGTCGGGATTCATTCATGCCGATGCGCCGTGCGTTACGTTGCCGACCACTCAGACCACAATTTGGGGAACAAAAACCCTTGGCATCATGTCATCTTGTCGTGCTTTTGATGTTCCGGTTTAGGGTACTTGGTACTGGTACCAGGTACTGTATCGTAGAACGAGATTCGTTCCTTGCGAACGGAAAATCGACATTTAGCAATGAACCGCAACCAAAAATAGAGTCCAATACACTTCAATACCATCCCTCCCAAAGCAAAGACCGGCTGCACCACACAAACTGCACTCCCATCCCAGGACACTACCGCGCAATGGAGACTGCTTTCGAGTTCCCGGGAGAAAAATACCTCTTGGAGGAGCTCCCGGACTACGCCGGAGAACGCCAGATGCTGGTGGCCAAACTCCTGATGGCCTTTTTCGTTTGGATCTTTCTGGTTCCGTCCTTTCTGGCCACCGAGGCGGCCCCGGAACYAAGTGAAAGCGGTGGCGGGGCAAAAACCGTGTCCACCACTACCACAACAACGACGACGACCGGGACGGGGGGAACGCTTCGAAGGAGAACCACAACTACCACCAGGATCGTGAAAGCGGCGCAGAAAACGACAAAAACGACGACGACAAAGACCGAGAGGAAGAAACCAGCGGGCGGGGACGCCGGTGTGGACGCGAAAAGTGCTTCCCATGGGCCGCGGGGAAACCCAAAGGGAACCACCCGTTCCATAGAGGGCAAGACCAACGCGGCGTGTTTCGCCTGCTGCCTCTTGCACCTCTCCTATATCCTGGTGCGATCCTCCCCCGACAACTACTACACCAGCCGAACCATCTTCGAGACCCCCCTCTTTACCCGGAGCGAGTGCGACCACCTGGTGGAAATGGCGGAGCGGGTCGCGGGGGAAAACTACGAGCGGGCCAAGGCGTACGCCTCCCGAACGAGCAGTGGCGATGGCAACGCCAACGGCAACGGCAGTGGCCACCAGAAGGCAATGGGCTACCTCGAGGAGCCCAGGGGCTGGCAGAAGCTCCGGCACGCGGTCCACCCCACGACGGACCTGAACCTTTCCGGGGACGGCTTTTCCGACGCCGACCGGGAGTGGCTCGGGACCAGGCTGGATGCGAGGCTGGCGCCGACCCTGGAACGGATCTTCGGGATCCCTCCGGGTGCGGTTCGGGCCAACGACGTAAGTACCGGCGCATCGAAGCGGAGCGGAGCAAGCAACCCGTCGGTCACATCGCGTCGTGTCGCGTGGCGCCGCGTCGCATTCTGAACCCTTTGCATTCCCGTGCCCCTTGTCTTGCTGTTCTTGTTTCGTTCTTTCAGATGTTTGTGGTTCGCTACGACGGCGATCGCCAAGCCTCGCTGTCGAGGCACACCGACAGCGGGAGCATCACCTTTTCGGTCCTGCTCTCGGACGGGTTCGAGGGCGGCGGGACGCGTTACTGGAACAGGTTGAAACCGAACCAAAACGGCGACGCCCTGGGGTCACCCTTTGCCTACCTCCTGCCGGAGGTGGGGGTGATGCAGACCTTTCCCGCTATGATCCAGCACGAGGGGGTTCCGACGACCAGGGGGCGCAGGTACCTCTTGATCGGCTTCTTGGCGGTCGACAAAATTGATCCGTGGACTCACACGCCCACGGGTCTTTCGTGGTTTTCCTCCTGGGGAAGCCTCAACTGGGCATCGACCAAGTTCAAGGAGGGAAAGAATTCGGCTTGGAGGGCACAAAACGACGGCAGCAACGGCAACAACAACAACGATAGCCTCCTTCATAGCACTCAGGCCGGCATGTTGTTTGAACTGGCGCACAGCTTCTTTCTCTCGATGTGCGACGTGGTCTTTCGGCACCGATTTGCCGTTTTGGTAGACAGTTCCAGCGCGGAGGACTTTCTGCGGGACCTGGACGATGCCCACGCAAAGAAAGCAGCATCGTCGGAAAACCAGCCGAAGAGCTCGTGGTTCGAAGGGCAGCAAATAGATGTCAACTTCGATGGCACCTTTTCCGGAAATTGGAATACAAAGGAAACCACAGACGCAGAGTTTTGAGAGAAGCATCGTGCAAGGTTTTTTGTGCCGCCGGGTCGGGACGGCTCTGCGTACACGTCTAGTGCGCATTCGGTCGCACCAAACACACGAGAGGYCGCTCAATATGTTTGATCGATTGGGCACGACCCAAAAGATACCAGACAACTGATCRTTCTCGATAGGGTTGGTTTTTCAATCCACGCCTTTTTGGCGATAGTTACAACGAGCAGTGTACTACAGTATTTTGTATTTTTTTAGCTAGCTATTTTACGAATTATCGAAGGGAAACGAATGGAATGCATTGTGATTCGTACCAGGAAAGGCTTCGTTGGCTTTGAATACCAACCATGTGTATCATTCTCTACAACCGGCTTCGATTAAGATCCGTGTTGACATCAAAACGATCGAGGTCCATCACCTTTGCAAATGCGGCGCAAAAGTCGCGTACGAAATCTTCCTTGTAGTCATTGCTGGCGTAGACTTCCGATAGAGCCCGTAGAATAGAGTGAGACCCAAAGACCAAATCGACACTGGTTCCGGTCCACTTCGCATTGCCCGTGCCACGATCTCGGCCTTCGTATACGTTCGGTGCAGCACTGCTTGGCGACCAAACGGTGTTCATGTCCAGTAGATTCACAAAGAAATCGTTCGAGAGCTGTCCCACGTTTTCGGTGAAGGCACTCGAGTGTTCCGTTCCGATACCCAAGACGCGCAAACCCCCCAGAAGAACAGTCATTTCTGGTGCCGTCAAGGCAAGAAGGTAGGCCTTGTCGACGAGCATTTCTTCGGGGCGAGCACTTATACCAGGTTGAACATAATTGCGGAAACCATCGGCCGGTCCATTCAAGTGCTGTTGAGATTCGATGCTCGTCATTTCTTGGGTCGCATCGGTACGGCCCGGGGTGAAAGGAACACTGACGTCGTATCCCCCTGCTTTTGCGGCTGCTTCGACGCCGGCACAGCCACCAAGTACGATCAAATCAGCAATAGATACTTCCTTCGAAAATGATTTCTTGATCCCTTCCAAGACGGTTAGAACCTTTTGTAATTCTTCCGGTTCGTTGACCTCCCAGCTTTTCATAGGTTCCAAGCGAATTCTTGCGCCATTGGCTCCTCCACGTTTGTCGGAATTGCGATAGGTTGCAGCAGAGGCCCAGGCAGTGGCTACAAGTCGACTGGGTGATAACCCACTCGCCAGAATCTTTTCTTTTAGTTCAGCTTCGTCTGCCGCATCAATCGCGAGAGATTTTGCCGGTGGAAGTGGATCTTGCCAGATTTGTGGTGCCGGGACTTCTGGGCCAAGGCACCGAATGTAAGGGCCCATATCGCGGTGTGTTAGTTTGTACCAAGCTTTTGCAAAGGCCTCGCGGAATAAGTTTGGATTTTCGTGGAACTTTTTCGAAATGACAGCGTATTTTGGATCCATGCGAAGCGACAAGTCGGTGGTAAACATCACGGGAGCATGGGATTTGCTGGAATCGTGTGCATCGGGAACTGTACCGGCACCTTCTCCATCTTTTGGAATCCACAATTTAGCTCCTGCGGGAGTTTTCGTTAGCTCCCACTCGTATCCAAATAGAACGCTAAAATATCCATCGTCCCACTTGATAGGATTCTTCGTCCATGCGCCTTCCAATCCAGATGTAATGGTATCTCCACCCTTGCCAGTTCTAAATTTATTTTTCCAGCCAAGTCCTTGATCTTCTAGAGGAGCTCCCTCAGGTTCGACACCAACGTTGGATGGATCTCCTGCACCGTGACCCTTGCCGAAGGTGTGGCCACCCGCGATCAGGGCCACAGTTTCCTCGTCATTCATAGACATCCGGYCAAATGTGGTTCGAATATCGGCAGCCGCAGAAAGAGGATCAGAGTTTCCCCCTGGACCTTCTGGATTGACATAGATCAATCCCATCTGGACGGCACCGAGAGGTTTGTCCAATTGCCTATCTCCCTTGTACCGTTTGTCGTCGTTCAACCATGTGGTTTCCTGGCCCCAGTTTACATCGTCCTCGGGTTCCCAAACGTCTTCTCGGCCTCCAGCGAAGCCTAAGGTTTCGAAACCCATAGATTCTAATGCTACGTTTCCAGTCAACACCATCAGATCGGCCCATGAAATTTTTCGGCCGTACTTTTGCTTAATTGGCCACAATAAGCGGCGGGCCTTGTCCAGGTTTCCATTGTCGGGCCAGCTGTTCAGGGGTGCAAATCTTAGCTGACCAGCTCCTGCACCCCCACGCCCGTCACTCACTCGATAGGTCCCAGCGCTGTGCCCTGCATTGCGTGAATATCAAAAAAATGAATGAACCCCCAAGTGAATCAAAATCGAATGCATCAAAAAACAAATCAGCGATTGGTAAGATATATTTTTCTTTGCAGTCAAGGTCGAAGTAAAAGTCCTGAGAATCMTGTAGATCAAAATCAGGTCAGACACTTACAAGCCATTCGAATGAAAAAAGGTCCATAGTGTCCGTAATCTGCAGGCCAGAAGTCCTGAGAGTCTGTCATCAAAACAGTCAGATCAGCTTTCAGACTTTCAATGTCGAGCTTCTCGAATTCGGCGGCGTAATTGAAGTTCAATGGCATGGGATTGGTTCGTTCATTGTTCTGGTTTAGAATATTCAAGCTGATCATCTCAGGCCACCAATCTTTGTTGGTCGTACCATTGCCCGGATGCAAATATGGACACTTTGCTTCAGCACTCATTATGATTTTTTCGATTTCTTTTCGTTGCGGATTATATTTTCTCCGTGTTTGGATTTTGTTACTTTTTGAATTATGTGACATGATTATAGTCTCTGCTTTCTCACTATCCTTCGCTCGTCTATCGGTGCCTACGAAAGATGATTCTACTGTATTGTATCTTGCTTCGCGTTTCGCTGTTCTCATCAATCGAAATGGATCTGACACTTGCCTTGATCACTACTTACTGGTACCTTACCATGATATAGTTCACGATCACCCAATCTTGGTTTTACACTGGTACATACATTGAACCATCATACCCTGCCGTAGCATGAGTGCGCTACTTGTAGGGGACGAACTCCTTYAGGTGTTCAGGTATGAAACGGGATACAGTATCTACTACAGTAGTACATCCTGTACGTACTCTTAGGTAACCTGTCGTTCTTAGGTGACGGAGAAAAAACAACTTCAAAAAAGCTGCCCTAACGAAGATTGAGCTGAGCGGCCCTGATGATCGCTAGTACGAGTACCTACGAGTAACAGTACAAGTACCGGTATGTATTGTCACATCGTGAGAGAGTAAAAAGAAACTAAGTTAGTTTCTTTTTTCCTTCCACTTGTTTCTTGTTTCATGTTTCATCGGTTTTGCATCGTTGGGTACGAGTAGGTAGGTATCGTGTCGGATACGTACACGAGTACTACTGTATTGAAAGGATAACGGGCATGGCTATGGGGTCCTACAACATGCGAGCGTACGACACTCCTACCGTAGCGTACCAGTACCCTACTCGTTACGCTGAACTCGATCATAATTATTTAATCGAATGAATCAAAATGATATGATTATCAATCTCAATCAATCACGTACGGTAGCGGTACCAGTACTCGTACTCGTGCCGGTAGAATAGTCAATAATCAAAATGGACTGAGATGGCCTGCAGGCTCGGAAAGAAAACTTTTTGAATTAAAATTTGAAATTTCGCAACCATCAAAACAATACGGTGACACTTACAGTACGAGTAAGTACTCGTTGTACTGTACTCCGTACTACTTGTGTCAGTCTTTTCTATTCGTACGAGTGCGTTCGAGAATAGATTACAGTACTACTACATACTGTATCAAGCAATGAGACGGACATGAACATTTCCGTACAGATCTTCTCAAAAAGGAAATAAGAACCGAAAATAGTCAACTAGCAAGTGTGCCAAACTTCCTCTAGAAGAAAAACGAGTGATAATCACCATGAGGTCTTCGCTTTTCCAAATCATTATCTACTTGTCAACAGCATCGATACTTTCGGTCGGCGCTGATTATGCATGTGATTTCTGTCCGGAACCAGCAACGTTAGACTCCGATGATCCATTTTGCAAGGAACTGTTGCGATTGGCACGCAGTGGTGATCTATACAGCGAACAAACAGAATGTGATTTAAACCTCCAAAGTCTAGCGAGACGTTGCAAATGTAGCGCTCCGCCTAAAGCTCCCCATGCTCCCTGCGACCCATGTGCTGCTTCCACCGGCACAGCATCAATGACCATTGGAAAGCCGCTAGGAAAGATAGCTTTCCACGAAAGCACATATTCTTGTATTGAGATGCTGTATTCGGCAAGGGCTGGAGGATTGAATGCAGACGAATGCAAAGCCTTTTCGATATCTGAAATCGAATCTCACTGTGGTGGATGTGTTGAAACTGTTCAGTGCGATTTCGATCAATCTAAATGTCGGAGCAGCCAAATACTAGTAGCTTCCAACCCCGACAATTACCCAGGGCCATCGAAACTATGGAGTTCTTCTCTCACGTGTGAGGAGCTAATTGAAGGTGCCCGAGCGGGAGATTTGCTTTCCGAAGCTGGCTGCCGTGTTTTCGAAAGCAGTGTCGAAGCGGCTTTCCAACCGGGAACCTTTGGTCTGGCCATTGCCAGTTTGAAAGAATGCGCCTTACAATGTGACTACGATGAGACAGCTAACACATCACTGAACAGAAAGCCACCCGTTCCGATCCAAAATGATCTTATTTTGTCGCCCAGATCAGATGTCGATGGTTCACGTAGCGTTGTACCCAGCGATGGTCCTAGTCTGATGCCAAGTGATGGTCCAAGTCTAATTCCAAGTGATGGACCTAGTATACTTCCAAGTGATGGTCCAAGTTTCCCGCCCATAGTAAAAAAGAAAGATAGATCAGGAAACAGTGGTTTGGTTTATGGAGATGTACCAAGTGATGGTCCTAGCCTACAGCCAAGTGACGAGCCCAGTTTATTCATTAACATGGATCGAGCTAATGTTGTTCCTGACAGATCACCTAAAAAGAAGCCTCACTCAAAAAGCGTAAGTTTTACCACTAATGCAATGTGTTCGATTCACTTTTTTTGTCCCTGTCACAGTCGTGAACGGTGAAAGAAGTAATCGACAATTTTAGGCTTTGTTCCAAAACACTCTTTTTTTCCTGACACATTATTTGGCTTTGTATTCTTTTGATGAATTTTCGATAAAAATAGTGCTTAGTGTGCGATTTCGACAATGATAGCGCTTTTTACCTCTACAAGGACTTCGGACAGACCGGGGTAACCTTTTTTGAAGCGTTGAGTGCTCCTGACCACCGAGAAGCGTGCCATGAGAAAGATGATTATTGTGATCCTAAGGAACCGCTCTATCCTGACTTGGAAAATTGCTATTTAGCAGATGTCACGTCGTTTGATGATCTAATTGGAATTCAAGCTGTGATCCCTCCCAAAAAGGCTGCCTACATATCCGTGTACAAGAACACAATTACCCAGTTTAATCAGGCAAAGAGTTGCAATCAATCCAATTCTACGGATGTCGAATGCACAGTTGAAAACTACAGACAAAGCCTTGCCTATGGTAGTGAGAATAATGTAGACGACGAAGACAATGCTCAAATGAGTACAAATTCAGAGGAAATTCCCTGCTCTGGGTTAAAAGAAGGATGGTTCAACTACGGCTCGAATGTTGCAGTTCCTTCCGGTCTCTGGAAAAATGGTCAACCCTCCTATTGCTTTTCTGGACCAATTCAGAACGCCGCTGCTGTGTGGCCCGTTCATCCAAATGGGTCGAATTACGGGGACATGAGAGATGTAAACGCCGGATGGAAATTAACTGGCGCAGTGTATAAATGCTGCAAATCTCTTCATACATGCACTGTTTCTGAATCCTCAAACTAAACTGTAACTGTCCAATCCATAGTAATTTTCACTCTATTCATACGACCAAAGAAGGATATGTAGCTAATAATAACGGGGTTCTGAGCAAATTATGCACGGAACCTCCCAAAGACGGTCTTGTAGACGATAGTCAAATCGTCCTTTTGCTCTGAAGTTCGACCTCATTTTACAGATTCTGATTTTAGCTATTTCCGTCCGATTTCTTTTTCCCGTTCACCTTTAATTCATGCTCGACAAGATTAAGTAAGACCCTTGTATCTCCTAGCGTAATTGGCAACCATTGCACCCGTACATGGGATAAGTTATTGAGCAAATCTCGATAGACAGCGCAATTCGGTGAAGTGGGTCTGTCACTAGTTACAAACCCTTTTCCTTCTCTGCTGTTTTCGTGTTCTGGATACTGGTTCTTGGTTTCATAGAAGACAATTAGAGTCGCTCCCCGTGGCAAAAATATTGCCATAGATGCTACTGCCTCACTGCAAGTGGCGATAAACACAGTTGTGCCCATCATTAGTTCGACACGATCAGTCAGTGACGTAAATTCTTTCGAAAAGTCGTGCGATTCTATATGAACCCGACTGGAGTTTGTAGAAGCAACTGAACTACGATCGCCATTCTCTGACTTGCTTCGAATCGCTGGCGATACCAAAAAATCACGCAATTCCGTAATGATTGGAGTGGAATCTTGACCATCATGCCCGATTTGTGGATCATCAGTCTTGCCATAAATTCTTGATGCAATACCATAGGCCGGAGCTGAAAAGATGATACGAACAATAGAATTGGACGTTTCGATATTGGTCATCTCATAATAACTGCCTCTCGCGGACAAAGTCAAGGACGCTCGGATAAGTCCCAGATTCCTGAGACAGTAGTTCCGAAACAACCAAAGAAGACCTCCTTTCCCATACTTGGGGAGAAGGTTTGCGGTATGTTTGCCCTCCGCTTTCTGTATTCCGTGCGGTCCCAGTCCGGCCAAACCATCTTTTGCGCACACTAGATGCGATAATATTGGTGTGTTTGGCGTTGGCATCAGTATCGAATCAAGTTGTGTCGTCCAATAAGTGTTCTCGAAAGAGTTCCTTTTGTCTTGGATAACCTTTTCATCATCGACACGACCACGCCGCATCATCAGAGGTCGAAATTCATCCATTTTTCGCTGAAATTGGACTTGGTTCCCATCAGCACGATTCTCCATTTTGCTAATATATCTCATCAATATTACTTCTTTCTGGTTCTCTCCAGGCACCAACTGAAACATATTCAATAGCGTGTATACTGGGAAAAGATCGTCCCAAAGGACTGAATATTCTTTCTCTCGTGGACCTTCTTCCTTCAACATGGTGTGAAATGGAACAAGGATCATATCTTCGTCCAGTGCATAGTAACGTTCGGGTGGTGACGATCTAATCACTGTTGGAAACCATTTGTAGGCNGAACGCAAATGAAGTGTATAATTCTCTCTGTAGAGCCATGTACAATTTGTACTGATTCCGGACCTGTCACGCACACATTTGCGTTCGTTCTGGTAGCGGTACCAGTACTCGTACTCGTGCCGGTAGAATAGTCAATAATCAAAATGGACTGAGATGGCCTGCAGGCTCGGAAAGAAAACTTTTTGAATTAAAATTTGAAATTTCGCAACCATCAAAACAATACGGTGACACTTACAGTACGAGTAAGTACTCGTTGTACTGTACTCCGTACTACTTGTGTCAGTCTTTTCTATTCGTACGAGTGCGTTCGAGAATAGATTACAGTACTACTACATACTGTATCAAGCAATGAGACGGACATGAACATTTCCGTACAGATCTTCTCAAAAAGGAAATAAGAACCGAAAATAGTCAACTAGCAAGTGTGCCAAACTTCCTCTMGAAGAAAAACGAGTGATAATCACCATGAGGTCTTCGCTTTTCCAAATCATTATCTACTTGTCAACAGCATCGATACTTTCGGTCGGCGCTGATTATGCATGTGATTTCTGTCCGGAACCAGCAACGTTAGACTCCGATGATCCATTTTGCAAGGAACTGTTGCGATTGGCACGCAGTGGTGATCTATACAGCGAACAAACAGAATGTGATTTAAACCTCCAAAGTCTAGCGAGACGTTGCAAATGTAGCGCTCCGCCTAAAGCTCCCCATGCTCCCTGCGACCCATGTGCTGCTTCCACCGGCACAGCATCAATGACCATTGGAAAGCCGCTAGGAAAGATAGCTTTCCACGAAAGCACATATTCTTGTATTGAGATGCTGTATTCGGCAAGGGCTGGAGGATTGAATGCAGACGAATGCAAAGCCTTTTCGATATCTGAAATCGAATCTCACTGTGGTGGATGTGTTGAAACTGTTCAGTGCGATTTCGATCAATCTAAATGTCGGAGCAGCCAAATACTAGTAGCTTCCAACCCCGACAATTACCCAGGGCCATCGAAACTATGGAGTTCTTCTCTCACGTGTGAGGAGCTAATTGAAGGTGCCCGAGCGGGAGATTTGCTTTCCGAAGCTGGCTGCCGTGTTTTCGAAAGCAGTGTCGAAGCGGCTTTCCAACCGGGAACCTTTGGTCTGGCCATTGCCAGTTTGAAAGAATGCGCCTTACAATGTGACTACGATGAGACAGCTAACACATCACTGAACAGAAAGCCACCCGTTCCGATCCAAAATGATCTTATTTTGTCGCCCAGATCAGATGTCGATGGTTCACGTAGCGTTGTACCCAGCGATGGTCCTAGTCTGATGCCAAGTGATGGTCCAAGTCTAATTCCAAGTGATGGACCTAGTATACTTCCAAGTGATGGTCCAAGTTTCCCGCCCATAGTAAAAAAGAAAGATAGATCAGGAAACAGTGGTTTGGTTTATGGAGATGTACCAAGTGATGGTCCTAGCCTACAGCCAAGTGACGAGCCCAGTTTATTCATTAACATGGATCGAGCTAATGTTGTTCCTGACAGATCACCTAAAAAGAAGCCTCACTCAAAAAGCGTAAGTTTTACCACTAATGCAATGTGTTCGATTCACTTTTTTTGTCCCTGTCACAGTCGTGAACGGTGAAAGAAGTAATCGACAATTTTAGGCTTTGTTCCAAAACACTCTTTTTTTCCTGACACATTATTTGGCTTTGTATTCTTTTGATGAATTTTCGATAAAAATAGTGCTTAGTGTGCGATTTCGACAATGATAGCGCTTTTTACCTCTACAAGGACTTCGGACAGACCGGGGTAACCTTTTTTGAAGCGTTGAGTGCTCCTGACCACCGAGAAGCGTGCCATGAGAAAGATGATTATTGTGATCCTAAGGAACCGCTCTATCCTGACTTGGAAAATTGCTATTTAGCAGATGTCACGTCGTTTGATGATCTAATTGGAATTCAAGCTGTGATCCCTCCCAAAAAGGCTGCCTACATATCCGTGTACAAGAACACAATTACCCAGTTTAATCAGGCAAAGAGTTGCAATCAATCCAATTCTACGGATGTCGAATGCACAGTTGAAAACTACAGACAAAGCCTTGCCTATGGTAGTGAGAATAATGTAGACGACGAAGACAATGCTCAAATGAGTACAAATTCAGAGGAAATTCCCTGCTCTGGGTTAAAAGAAGGATGGTTCAACTACGGCTCGAATGTTGCAGTTCCTTCCGGTCTCTGGAAAAATGGTCAACCCTCCTATTGCTTTTCTGGACCAATTCAGAACGCCGCTGCTGTGTGGCCCGTTCATCCAAATGGGTCGAATTACGGGGACATGAGAGATGTAAACGCCGGATGGAAATTAACTGGCGCAGTGTATAAATGCTGCAAATCTCTTCATACATGCACTGTTTCTGAATCCTCAAACTAAACTGTAACTGTCCAATCCATAGTAATTTTCACTCTATTCATACGACCAAAGAAGGATATGTAGCTAATAATAACGGGGTTCTGAGCAAATTATGCACGGAACCTCCCAAAGACGGTCTTGTAGACGATAGTCAAATCGTCCTTTTGCTCTGAAGTTCGACCTCATTTTACAGATTCTGATTTTAGCTATTTCCGTCCGATTTCTTTTTCCCGTTCACCTTTAATTCATGCTCGACAAGATTAAGTAAGACCCTTGTATCTCCTAGCGTAATTGGCAACCATTGCACCCGTACATGGGATAAGTTATTGAGCAAATCTCGATAGACAGCGCAATTCGGTGAAGTGGGTCTGTCACTAGTTACAAACCCTTTTCCTTCTCTGCTGTTTTCGTGTTCTGGATACTGGTTCTTGGTTTCATAGAAGACAATTAGAGTCGCTCCCCGTGGCAAAAATATTGCCATAGATGCTACTGCCTCACTGCAAGTGGCGATAAACACAGTTGTGCCCATCATTAGTTCGACACGATCAGTCAGTGACGTAAATTCTTTCGAAAAGTCGTGCGATTCTATATGAACCCGACTGGAGTTTGTAGAAGCAACTGAACTACGATCGCCATTCTCTGACTTGCTTCGAATCGCTGGCGATACCAAAAAATCACGCAATTCCGTAATGATTGGAGTGGAATCTTGACCATCATGCCCGATTTGTGGATCATCAGTCTTGCCATAAATTCTTGATGCAATACCATAGGCCGGAGCTGAAAAGATGATACGAACAATAGAATTGGACGTTTCGATATTGGTCATCTCATAATAACTGCCTCTCGCGGACAAAGTCAAGGACGCTCGGATAAGTCCCAGATTCCTGAGACAGTAGTTCCGAAACAACCAAAGAAGACCTCCTTTCCCATACTTGGGGAGAAGGTTTGCGGTATGTTTGCCCTCCGCTTTCTGTATTCCGTGCGGTCCCAGTCCGGCCAAACCATCTTTTGCGCACACTAGATGCGATAATATTGGTGTGTTTGGCGTTGGCATCAGTATCGAATCAAGTTGTGTCGTCCAATAAGTGTTCTCGAAAGAGTTCCTTTTGTCTTGGATAACCTTTTCATCATCGACACGACCACGCCGCATCATCAGAGGTCGAAATTCATCCATTTTTCGCTGAAATTGGACTTGGTTCCCATCAGCACGATTCTCCATTTTGCTAATATATCTCATCAATATTACTTCTTTCTGGTTCTCTCCAGGCACCAACTGAAACATATTCAATAGCGTGTATACTGGGAAAAGATCGTCCCAAAGGACTGAATATTCTTTCTCTCGTGGACCTTCTTCCTTCAACATGGTGTGAAATGGAACAAGGATCATATCTTCGTCCAGTGCATAGTAACGTTCGGGTGGTGACGATCTAATCACTGTTGGAAACCATTTGTAGGCYTCTTTGCTTTGTCCACGACTAGTATCGTCATCACCAGCCGCACTCCCAACCCTGTCTCTGGGATGTYGGACGGTGCCACTTGCCAGAGAGACACCGCTGTCTATTCCATTTTGAGTTTCATTTCGAGGCTGCAAAAGGACACCAGATGAAATATCTACAAAAGGTTGCCGACGGGATACCATCGATTGCAGTATTTCATCATCGGGCCGGGCATACACCTCAAATTCTCGGCTCGAAACATTGAAACAGAGAAATCGAAAGTGACAAGAGCGATGCATCCAAGAAAAGTCACTGCCTTGATAATTCTCGCCAACGCATCGAACAGATGAATAGGGACGGCTGTGGTAAGATTTGTTGAGAGTCAAGTCATGATAAAACACGGGAAAGCCATTGAAGCGTCCGTCGGGAGGAATAKTTTTTTTTATTTTTCGGTGTCCGATGTTGCTGTTGCTGGATTTGGATTGATAATGTTGTTGCTGCTGATGCTGATGCTGTTCCTGGAATGGTATTGATAAGGATTCGTGCTGAGTGACAATCCAATGGAACTTTAAAGCAAGAAAGATTTCTATGAGAAGATATGCAAAGCCCAGGACGACGTAGGACCGCGAAGTCCTCGGTTGACGAGTGTTTGTTGGGACTGCCGACATCGAAGAGGTCGAGCTTTTCTCTCTCCTCGTACAACCGGTTATCACAGAAAGCAAGTTGTCGTCGCGGATCCTGCTTGGGTTTCATGCCGTTGCGAAATAGTATGCCAAAGAATATGGCAATCATGAATCATGAAGATTGTCGATCGGCGTGAAAAAAGTTTCTGTCGAGCGGTTGTTGTTTCCATCCAGTACGTACTACCAGTACGTACTACCAGTACGAGAACGAGTGCGAGTGCGAGTACCGGACGGAGTATCGCAATTGGTATCAAACGAAGGTAGTTTCTACGGTGGAAAAAACTCAAGAGTGCATAGTAGAATTTAGAACCAAATGAAACCACTCTATCGTCCGGTAGTACGAGGTACGAAGGCAAATGAGGTGGAGACAGGTCCGGAGTCAGTACAAATTGTACACAGCTCTACGGAGGGAACAATACACCTCATTTGCCTTCGCAACATGAACCTGTCTCACTTTAAAAAAAMCATKWAGTATTTTTATATCGAAATATTTGGTAGTACTAATTTGTACATAGGATTCTACACACCTTGGGGATACTGAGGGCTCTCAAGAAAAAACCACTTGGCCGATCATTCTGAGAATTCCGTATCCCCTTCTTCTTATTACTATAATGAAGTTATTCCAGTACATGTGTGGAGTGGAAGTGTCCCTGATAGCTCTGTCTGGAGGGTGAGACAACCCTCATGCTGGTGTTTTTTTTTACTAGAAAAACTGCGCATTTTTTTTTGAATTATAACCTGTCTCACATTTGGTCCACACATTTGCCTTCCAACCTCGTACTAGTAGTAACTGCTGTTTGTATCTAAATCTAAAATATGAGTGGAATTCATTGATTGTCTTTCTATGTTAGCTACTAGGCATTCTTGCTTGCCCATGTGTTTTTTGTGAAAAGAAAAGGTGTTTGCTTATAGTAGTACAACAAACAGACCACCACTTGRTGTTGTTCTTCTGCGTGKKSYGYMGTASTASTAGTASTAGTAGKARSWMCTCYYCTYCTTSYTGGTTAAAGCACAGCATAAATCAAATTGCTTGTATACTAGTAGTAGTACTAGTRACAATAACATGTTGAAACTTACACATTTTCCAAAGATCTCCCCTATAATCTGTGAGCAGTAGCTCTTGCATTATCAATATTATTTGGGATGTGAGGAGTTTAGTAGTAGTACTACTAGTATTTTATTCCCTTGTTGTTGCCACTTGTTTGAGTTTTATTTTTTGTAATACTTTGTTCATATTCTTCAGAATATTGAGGAAATTTTAGACCTGTTTGCTGCAGTGTTTGGAGGAGTTCAAGTGATCACTTTTTACAGTCACATTCTTTGAGGACCACCTCTATCCATTTAACCTTCTCAGCATATACATGTCAAACAGAATACACACCATCAGTAATGTTGATAATCTCAAAATCATGCTACCCATTTTGTGTTTCACAAACTTGAAGGTACACCTGGCTAAATTTTCCTTAGATTTTTCAACATCTATGTTGTCATGATTTATGACAACAGGTCTTCTGACAAACAATTTATGCATTGGGTCTGCTAGTATCCTTTTGGAAGAGWTGGTATCATCTTCAACAAAATGAGTACTATCTGGTGATGATATGGTAAGTTATGCAGTAGCATCTCTCAGTAGTGTCTTGTTCTACCAACAATCTTCAGTTTTTTGAAGGTTGAAACTTTTATTACAATGGTGCAATCTAGCAATCTGTCATTTATGTTTTTTTAATGTGATGTTTGAGAAACACAGAAGAATTTTGCTGAATTGTCTGCTTTGCTGCTGTATCATGCTGTTGCACAAGCAATATCCTCTGGAGAGGGACCAGAGGGCTGGGACCAATTTTTCAATATTCTCTTGGRWTTCAGCACATTTTTAACAAMAATAAAAAAATAGTGGTCAAACTTTGATCAGTGGTTCTTCAATTTGGGGGTTTTCAAATTCAATTTAGAGAGTTCCATGGAATMGTATTTATTAAATTTAATGTCACCAGTTTTATTACAGGATTAATCAAATTTAAGTAACTGATCAATTAAATTGAATTATTATTCCATTAATTAAATTTTAATTGATGATCTAATTAAAARGTAATAAATTTTGATCATGATTGCATCAGTCAATTCAATCCAAGCACCAGCACCAGCTGCAGCTATTACTTTAGTAATCCAATTTTTGCACGGTCGAGCATGTGTCGGAGACCCTAAGTAAATGAAAAAATGAGGTATTTAAATAGGCTCAACGGACAAAAATGAAAGTGGTACTTTGGTACTCACTTAGATTACTTCGGTACCATCACATGGTACTCCAGTACCATCTCTTACTGTGTACTTTCAGTATGATGCTCTACTGGTGCTATCTATGGTGCTGCTATGAGTTGCTAATACGGAGGATGCTGATACGAGCGCTGATAGGGAGGCTTGCTGATACGAGCCAGTGATACGGAGGCTCGCTTGCTGCTGGTGATACAGAGGACGCTAACTGATGCGGAGGCTTGCTCGCTGCTGGTTATACGGAGGCTCCTTGATACGGTGGATGCTAACTGATACGGAGGCTTGCTAGCTGATACGGAGGAGCCGCCGATACGAGTCACTGAATGGAGTGTTGAAGGATCCAAGGAGAGATAAGAGCCCATTCCCCTATATCAGAAGAGGCAATGCTTGTAATTCATCTGCTGGATCCAGATAGGGACCAGGGAGGGATAAGAGCCCATTCCCCTATATTGGAGGAGGCAGTGCTGCTTGTAGTTTGGTTGCTGATACGGAAGACGCTGATACGGAGGCTCGCTGATAGTACGAATTGCTGATACGGAGGATCCAGGGAGGGATAAGAGCCCATTCCCCAATATCGGAGGGGGCAGTGCTTGTAGTTCGGTTGCTGATAGTACGGAGGATGCTGGTGATACGATTTGCTGATAGGATTTGCTGATACGAGTTGCTGATACGATTTGCTGATACAGAGGACGCTGATACAGACTGGACGACAACGACACAGATATGGAGGACGCTGACACAGAGGACCACCACAATGCTGACAAAGGACACTTACAGTTCTTCAAAGGAGGCCTATTCCCATGGTCAAAGTGCAAAGAAGCCTTTGAAACTGAGCTAGATTGAAATAATGAGTACTGGAGCTGCAGCAGTTTTGCGAGTGAAATCCAAAGAAAAGCAGCACAGCATAGTAGAATGTAGTACAGATTCTACTGAATGATGCATTTTAAAAGTGGTACTTTGGTACCATCTTGTACCAGGCCTACGTAAATCACGTAGCAATACAGGTTTTTTGTCGTCCCTACAGGTTTTTTGTTGTCCCCCCCAAAAAGCCGCAACAAACAGCAGTCGGTAGTGGGAAAACAACAAGGGTCTCCTCCACTCTGCTCAACCTTGCAAGCATTGGATTACACAACTAACACCCCTCTCCTCTAAAAGGAGCCTCCTATAGGAAAATTCATCAGCTCACTTGCCTCAGAGTCGTACAATTTTGGTGGCACGTGCTTGTCCCTATCTAAAAAGAAAATCCTCGGCGCGCGCGCCTCGAATTTTCTTTTAGATAGGGACAGCACGTGCCACCAAAATCAGAGGACGAGGTGTTACTTTTAGCAATCATTTACTTTACCAACAGTTTCAAYATTATCAACAAAAGACAAAGCAAAAGGGAAAACAGCAAAAATGTTCAAAGTGGAAACAATTGAAAACATATGTGAGATTGTTCAATGGCCTGCTGATAGGGAATGGAACAATAAGTATAAAGAATGCTGCATAGCAGTGCATAGCAGGACAATTTGGCATGCCAAGCGCAGTAATTGCTGATTTGTGATATTATATTGAGTCAACACATTGAGTCAACACTTCAAGATGAATCACCTGAACCAAAACACCTCCTATGGAGGACTGCTATTCCTCAGAGTTTACACCACATCAGAAGAGTTCCACTATTCAATAGTAGTAGGATGGCCTCACAAAGATACATYCCAAAAGTGGTCGTGTTACTTCATGAGAAAGATCTTTGACCTTCAGGCAAATGTGATACTATGGGAGAACAAATTCCTTGGTCAACCTCAATCCTCATKCCCTTTCCTACTGGCACTTCCAAGAAATGCATCTTTGACACTGAGTCTGCAACAAGATTAGACAGCTGGGAATTGGTTGAAGCTGATAGTGGACTCCAAGGAACTCACAAGACAAAGAAACCAAAGCAGGGGATAGACAGYAAGCAACACAAAGTGAAAAATATCATCAGGGGACACCATGAAAATGAGAATGGGCGACTCAAGATATTCAWTGTGCTCAAAGTTTCTTTCCATCACACTGAAGGCAGAGACAGCAGGGACACAATGATACAAAWGCATGGAATATGCTTTACAGCTATTACAGTGATCACTCAGATGAAGCTTCTCAAGCAAGAAGGGTCTCTTTACTAATGCATTGGTTTGCTGTTGGTCATCMAGTTCCAGTAGTAGGATCTCTACAAGCACATACCAAATGCATGTGCTCAGTACTTGAATTTTTGATACCCACCAGTCATGCAACCAAATAGTTTCAGTCTTGCAACGAAATAGTTTTGCTCACATGTGTGCTGGTGTAGCCCTAGTACAAGTCAAATTTTAATCCCATGAGTTATTACACGGTAAAAAAAAATAGCCAAAAATTGATGCTCCATGTTATTTTAACTGTRTCTGTTATAGTCTTGAACTGTCAGTTTGAGCTGTATCTTGGTCCCCAACAGACACTTGACAATGATAAGCACATAAATCGAATCTCAGTAAAAAGACAAATTCATTGMTATGGGGGATTATAGGGGGTCATTGAGTATTGAATTATTAGKGTAGTATGTATATCAAGCATTCAAAATGTAGGATTAATTGGCTATTTTTGAATCTCCACAGTTATACAATACAAAAATGTTTATCAAAACCATATCACCTGAGGGGCATAATTGAAATGTCACATATAAAGCACACTGC